TCTATCTCCCTGAGGTGACTCAGAGCAGATTACAGAATACATATATAGCAAACGTTCAATTCCATTAACAACAAAGACAGACAGTACCCAGACAGAGGCAAGGCTTCCCTCTTTCCACCTCTGGCATCTGGAGGCTGTGCTTGACTCCGGCTTGTTCCATTTTCCATGTCAAGGAGTCTGTTGTCCATGGACACCTTCCTGAATTGCTGAATTGCTGGCATGTCTGCATGGTGTTTTTTACCTATTGATCTACTGACATTGATCACATTATTGTTTTTGAGCTGCTAAGTAGGCAGGAGCTAGAGCTAAAGTTGAGAGCTCACCCCAACTTGTTAATCTTCTGGTCGACAATATTTTCTGCAGCTGGTGGTTCAACCTGCTGTGCTACCATGGCCCTACCTGATTGACTGAAGGTAAGAAAATAAAGGGTTGCAGGCTATATCTAACATATAAACTGAAGTTACTTGTTCTCTGGGCTATATACAAACTTTGGGGTTCTATCAAATCTGTTATTTCAAAATTCAAAGAATACCCTGCCTAGAAAAAGCTGTCTACTAAACTTGAGTGACTGGGTAGGAAGGAGAGGAGATGCAACCAGAAGATCAGTAGTGGAAAGGCTGAAGGAACTGGAAAGATCTGTACTGCAATTGAGCAGGGAAAACTATCACAAAGTGAATGGCCTCAACAAAGCCCAGATCTGATCAAGAATCTACAGTAAGACGTAAAGATGACTATTTGCCAGCAATCTCTATCCAACCTGAAAGAGCCAGTGCAATTTTGTCTAGATAGAAGAGCATGGGAACAATTGTAGGAACCAAGTTTGAAAATTACATAAAAACTTACACAAGAAGACTCACAACTGTAAATGCTGTGTTCAGGAAGTGATTCTTCCAAGTATAGACCAGGGAATGGGAGATACTGTATTTCAGGTTGATATGTTTACTTATTTTTTGTGCGCCAATAAAAATATTTGGACCTTTACTGTGTAGAGCAGGCATGGGAAAATGTCAGTCTTCAAGGTGTTCAAATCCACAAGGGGGTTGAAGTCCAAAACACTTGGAAGGCCAACGTTTGCCCATGCCTGGTGTAGAATATCTTGTATACATCAAGTGGAACAAGAGGCAATTCAATGAATTCAGGATGTAACATAACAAATGGGATGTTGGCATGGATAGCTACTTTTACAAGGCACCGTATGTGTGCCTTATTGTAATTTTCAAACTTGGTTCCTACAATTGTTCCCATGCTCTTCTATCTAGACAAAATTGCACTGGCTCTTTCAGGTTGGATAGAGATTGCTGGCAAATAGTCATCTTTAAGTCTTACCGTAGATTATTGATCAGATTAAAATCTGATCAAAAGACAAGAATAGATTTTAGTAAACTGAACCTATTTTGAGTGTTTTAGCCCATCTGTCTGCTTTGATATGTGCAATTTTTCCTTTCTTAATTACAGCTAAAGATTAAGAAAAGGGACACAATCAAAATGGAAATTGAAAAACAACAAAAAATACAGTGCGGTAAGTTTCCAAAATTATTATTATTATTATTATTATTATTATTATTATTAATAATAATAATAATAATAATAATAATATACTTCATTTATATTCTGCCCTATCACCCTGAGGGGACTCAGGGTGCATTACAGTGGACATATATGGCAAACATTCAGTGCTGTTATACAATTAACAAAGACATTCAGTACATAAACAGAGGATAAAGGCTTCCCATCTTTTTCCATCTCCGGCATCTGGAGGCTGAGGTCGACTGGCCATGAAGGGGTGCTGTTGCTCCATCTTCCATGCCAAGGAACCTTGTTGTCTTTAGACACTCTCCCAATTGAATCGCCAGCATGTCCACATGGGCGCCTTTTATTTCCTCCCCACCAAAGTGGTACCTATTTATCTACTCACATTACTGTTTTTGAATTGCTAGGTGAGCAGAAGCTGGGCTGACGGTTGGGACTGTCAACTGTCAACCTTTTGATCGGCAATTTTTTATATTAAATAAATTATTTTATATTCTTGATTTTACTTTCTATCACCTGAATAGTCTGTGAAACTTCAAACTTGTATGGCAAGTGAGAGGGACGACCTTCTGAAGTGTTGAAGTGTTGAAGTGTTGAATGCCTTCAAGTCATTTCAGTTTATGGTAAATCTATCACTGGACTTTTGGGGCTGAAAGGATGTGACTTGCCCAAGGTCACCCAGTGTTTTTCATGGCTGAATAGGGGGGTAGAGGAACCAAACCCTAATTTCCAGAGTTCAATGCTTAAACCACTATATATCATGCTGGCTCTCAACACCATGTTTGTCAATAATATGGTGATTTTGGCCCTTTCTTTCAGCCCTAATGCTTTTGTTGTTGTTGTGTGCCTTCAAATAATTTCCCACTTATGATGATCCTAAGCTATTTGGCAAGATCTGTTCAGAGAGGGTTTGCTTTTGCCCAGTGGGTCATTTGTCAAAGCTTTCCCAATGGGCTTCCATGGCTAAACAGGGATCCAAACCTTAATTTCCAGAGGCATAGTCCAACATTCAAACCACTGCACTGCGTTACATTTCATTCCTTACCTGACAGGAATTTTTGTAGAACATCTGGCTCACTTAAAACGGTAAATTCCTAATGCATCTATTTTTCTTTACTTATTTTAAACATTTATTTCCACGAAATAAGAAATGATTAAAATAATTTCTACTCAGAATGCACATTGCTCTGTAAACTGATGGATGGAAACATCAGTCGGACAAGTAACCTTAGTGGATCAATTAACAGTTTTCAGTGTGCTTGAAAATAAAGTTTCCTGGAAATCATTTTATAATCTATTTGCTTTATCCTTGTAGAGATGAAAACTGATCTTAACTTACTACTTGAATGTCTGAAGTATCAAATGAACCATCCTACTTCTCAAAAGGAAGCCTTGCTTACCATTTATTCAGCTTGCCAGCAAAACAGTAAGATTATTGCATTTTACCTTTGCTTTGTGACGTGTTCTCTCCAGTTTTTAAGTTGGAATCAATTTTTTTGAAACGCAAAGCTTTTTTTGTATCTTTCTTTGTTACAGGTCATGCAAGTGATTATTTTCGAGAAATAGGTGGTTTCCTTTTTGTACAAGGCCTAGCAAAATCAAGTGTCCACAGCATGGTAAAGGAAGCTGCATTATTTACATTAGGAGGCTTAGCTGAGACAAATGGTAACACACAAGTTTATTATTCTCAATTTTTAGTCATATTCTTTAAATCACTGTATTTTTGTTTGTCTATTTTGCTGAATATGTGATTATGTATATTTATTTTATTTATCATTTCAGGAGCAACTAGACAGTTGTATTACATTTTTAACAAAACAAACAAATAGACAGACAAAACACAAAGTTTGCAAGCTTGGTAGTTGAGTAAATGTCCTTTGACCAGTATCTGGCCACTTGGAGTGCCTCTGGTGTTGCCGCAAGAAGGTCCTCCATGCATGTAGCAGGGCTCAGGTTGCATTGCAGCAGATGGTCAGTGGTTTGTTCTTCTCCACATTCGCATGTCGTGGATTCCACTTTGTAGCCCCATTTCGTAAGATTGGCTCTGCATCTCGTGGTGCCAGAGCGCAGTCTGTTCAGCGCCTTCCAAGTCACCTAGTTTTCTGTGTGCCCAGCGGGGAGTCTCTCATTTGAAAAAAAGCCATTGATTGAGGTTCTGGGTTTGAGCCTGCCACTTTTGGACTCCCACTTGCTGAAGTGTTCCAGTGACTGTCTCTGTAGATCTTAGAAAACTATTTCTTGATTTAAGTCATTGACGTGCTGGCTGATACCCAAACAAGGGATGAGCTGGAGATGTCACTGCCTTGGTCCTTTCTTATGTATATGATTCAATCTGTTTAGCAGTTGCAAAATGTATGTTACATCTTGTTATATAAGAATTCCTCCAACTAGGGCAGTGGTTCTCAGCCCGTGGGTCCCTGGATGCTTTGGCCTATAACTCCCAGAAATTTCAGCCAGTTTACCAGCTGTTAGGATTTCTGGGAGTTGAAGGTCAAAACATCTTGGGACCCCAGGTTGAGAACCACTGAATTAGAAGAATCCTTGTTGGGCAAATGTGCTTATTAATAAAAGACCCTCCTCATAAATGTACAGCAGAATAACTTATTAGCAGCAGCATGATCCAGCACCAATAGCCAAAAGTGATAAAAGAACAAAAACACAGAGACAATAGAAGTATTTTCTTTATAGCAAAATAATATGGTTGAACTATTTACAAGAGGTTCCATAACACAAACAAAATTCTTTATACTTTCTTCTTTGCTTCCACTTTCTTCTTTGCTGCATGCTTTCTCATGCAGATAAACAGCTTTGCTCTCACAGAGCCTCTTGTCACACAGAAGTTCACACAGGAGCTTTTTACACACAGCAGCTTTCACAATAAAGCTTCCTCACCGAAGCTCATTGCAACGGGATACCCTAATAGCTGTTAGGAATATCCCACTTTGTGTCCCTCAATTGCAGAGGATTCTGTCCTTTATTTTCTTTTTAAAGCTTAATGCATGCTGCCACCAAATATAGAACTCTTCCACAAGCTACCTCCTTATATGTGTTGTTTGTATGAGAGGCATGAAGAGACTTTTGTTTGGTATGGACAAAGAAAGATGTTTATTTGTTTATTCAGAACAGGCACAGAAGCTTAATGGGTGCAGTATTACTTGTACAAAGTGTTATGGTTTCAGAAGTAGTTCAGTGCCTGAATTACAGGTGCCAGTCAAAACCTTCAAACTGATAAACTTTTGATATTCCACTAAACAGTTCTCTCAATACAAACAGCCCAATTCTCCAGGGTCTGTTCAAACCAATAGTTCTTCCTTGAAGTAACTATTATATAACACAAGCTAAACTTTCTTCTTCCTCCCTTTTCAAAACCCAAACTCCAACTGTTGATTCCAAACTCCTAACTGACATTAAAATGGCTCCTTTTTTACCCTTGTCTCGTCTTAACTCCACCCAGGGCTATTAACCAATCAGGTGGCTACACATATCCTCAAGGTTGCCTGTTGGCTCCGCCCCCTCTTGGCTCTGAGACAAGAAAAAAGCTGTTTGGCTTTTTGCCTTTAAGGAATTAAACACCAGCCCTGCACAGTAGGCCAGTACGTTACACTCCTCACACCAGACCTACTAACACTGAGGTGTATCTCACATTGAGGTCTTTCTCCTACTGAGGCCTTCTCACGCTGAGGGCTCTCTTAGACTGACACCTCTCTCACACTGAGGCCTTATCATACTGGGGCATACTAACACACTGAGGCCCTTCTCCCACAGAGACTATTCACAGACTAAGGGCTACTAAGCTACAGACACACTTGCTTATATTGAACGGCAGCTTTTGCTGAGTCATTGCATCCATTTAACCCAGGGGTCGGGAACCTTTGGCCCTCCAGCTGTGGTGGACTTCAACTCCCACAATTCCTTGAGGCTCGGCATTCGCCCCAAAGGCTTACCTTGGCCCAACGAGGTTTGTTTCGCTCTTTTTCATGGAGGACGGGCAGCAAAGGGGGAGAGACGAGCGTAACGTAGCTGTGCAGATGGCGAGGAAGGATGCGGAGCCCACAGACTGGCCTCGGAGGGAGAGAGCGGGCGGAAACCCCTGCGGGCAATGCGCTTCCTCGCCGCTTCGGCCCTTAGCACCCGCCCCGCATGGACCCCCTCCCTAGCAACGACGCCGACTGAGTGACATCGTGCAGAGCTTGTCGGGGAAAAGGGAAGGCGAAGGCTGGAGGGAAAGGGCTCTGCGCTGTTTAAGCGGCGAGGAGGCGCGTTGCCCGCAGGGGTTTCCGCCCGCTCTCTCCCTCCGAGGCCAGTCTGTAGGCTCCGCATCCTTCCTCGCCATCTGCACAGCTACGTTACGCTCGTCTCTCCCCCTTTGCTGCCCGTCCTCCATGAAAAAGAGCCAAACAAACCTCGTTGGGCCAAGGTAAGCCTTTGGGGCGAATGCCGAGCCTCAAGGAATTGTGGGAGTTGAAGTCCACCACAGCTGGAGGGCCAAAGGTTCCCGACCCCTGATTTAACCCTTTCAGTGCTTGGCTCACATTTTTGTAATTAAAAATACCTTGTTAATATTCATTATTTCTGACAATCCTCACAGATTATAGATAGGTCTACTCAGAAATAAGTCTAGTTAAATAAAACTGGGCACACTTTCATGTGGGTGCATATAGTGGTTGCATATTAGTTTTGGGATTTGTTAGAATTGACTTACTCTGCTACCTGCATTTGTAGAATTTATTACCGAATGTGATTAATTTTGTTGACTTATCAAAATTAATTCACTTACTGTTACAGAACAATCATAAATTCGATAAAGGAATATTTCTTTTGTTTCAGTATTTTCCCAACAGATGTTATGTACTTCAGGACTATTTGAAGACCTTCATAAGATTTTGACTAACAAGGATACAAGTGTAAATTTGAAGAGAATGTCTGTTTATGTCTTATTAGTGCTGGTTTCAAACAACAGTAAGATCTTCTGCCTTGCTGCATATTAAAATAGATCCAGCTGTTCATAAACTCACAATTAATTATGATCACATATAATCAGTCAATGTTCTTTTAATTCTATTGTACTCAAGGAAATTAAACAAGTTATTTTAGCTAAGGATATGCTAAGCTGCAGAAATGAGTACACAGGCTTAGGCCCTACTCCCAAAGATTGCATAAATGCTACAGATAATGTATTTTGTGAAAGGAAATAGGCAATGATTTTGGATAGAATAAAGTATAAGATTCCCACACCCAAAGGGGGCGGGAATCTTATACTTTACTTTACTTTCCAGAACTGAAAGTAAACTTGTTAATATTTGAAAATTTTACTTTCCAGAACTGAAAGTAAAATTGTTAATATTTTAAAATTTTCTTAAATTATAATACAATATAATTTTATCCACTCTCACTTGCACATTTTATTATAACTAAAAAGGATGGCAGACTGTATCCCATCTCAGTAAAAACGTTGAATTCACTGGCAACCAGTGGGGCTAGTAAAGAACCAATGTAATATTCTCCAGTTAGTTAGCTTCCACAAAGAACTGCCCAGCTCCATTTGCATTTTGCCTCACCTTCTGAATTTATTTCCATGTCTGTCCTCATGTGAAGTGAATTACAGTGTCTAAATGCAGCCATTCTAGGAGGCTGCATCTAGTCTATTGCTTTAATTACTGACTGCAAACTACTGTATATACTGAAATCACAGGTCCGCAGTTTGGAGGTCCTCCTGGATTCAGCACTTACGCTTGATGCGTAGGTGTCAGCGGTGGCCGGGAGGGCCTTCATGCAATTAAAACTTGTGCGCCAACTGCGGCCTTACCTCGTGAAGTCTGACTTGACCATGGTGGTCCATGCCCTAGTTACTTCTAGACTGGATTACTGTAATGCACTCTACGTGGGGCTACCCTTGAAGACGGCCCAGAAACTACAACTTGTCCAACGTTCGGCAGCCAGATTAATAACTGGGGCGACTTGCAGGGAGCGGTCAACCCCCTGTTTAAGGAGCTCCACTGGCTGCTGTTTATTTTCCGGTCCCCATTCAAGGTGCAGGTTATCACCTATAAAGCCCTAAATGGTTTGGGACCCGCCTACCTTTGTGACCGTATCTCCCTCCATGAACCAACTCGGGCCCTCCGATCTTCTGGGAAAGCCCTTCTTTCGCCCCTGCCAGTCTCACAAGCTCGCCTTGTAAGCACAAGTGAGAGAGCTTTTTCCTCAGTGGCTCCACGACTCTGGAATTCACTAACTGGAGAAATTAGGAAAGCCCCTACCCTAGAAACTTTTAAAAAGAACCTCAAAACCTGGCTCTTTCGTTGCGCCTTCGGTGAATAGGTATTCAATCCCACATTATCGCTCATTTGCAATGTTCTGTCATTGAAGTATACGTTCCTCCCCCCTCGTGGGAAAGCTTGATTCCACAACTCCCACTATAATGAGCCCTCCTCCACAAATAATAATTTGTTTCTCTTTTATCTCATCCGAGTTTTTAACCAGTTTTAATTAGTTCTCCTTTTAACCATTACATGTAGCCCACCCATTATCATGGTGTTTGTGTTTACTGTAATTTTATATTGTTGTATATTCATATGTTTTATGTAATTATGATGTTGTTGTTTATTGTTTGCATTTTCGGTTTGCATTCGGTTGTTCTTTACTGTAATTGTTGTTTGGGCTTGGCCTCAAGTAAGCCGCTCCGAGTTCCCATTGGGGAGATGGTAGCGGGGTACAAATAAAGATTATTATTATTATTATTATTAGCTGACCTGAACATAAGCTGCGGCACCTAATTTTACCACAAAAACTAGGAAAACGTATTGATTTGAGTATAAGCCGAGGGTGGGAAATGCAGCAGCTACTGGTAAATTTCAAAATAAAAATGGGCACCAACAAAATTACATTAATTCAGGCACCAGTAGGTTAAATGGTTTTGAATATTTACATAAAACTGTAATTTAAGATAAGACTGTCCCGCTCTGATTAAAACATTATTCTAACCTTCTTCAATGTAAATGTGCTTACGTATCCTTCCAATAATAATAGAGTAAAATAATGTAATAAAAATAATAATAGAGTACATAATGTAATAATAATAATAATAATAATAATAATAATAATTTAAAATAATAAATGTAATAAAAATAATAAAAACAACAGAGTGAAATAATAAATAACCTTGACACAAGTATAAGCCCCGGGGGGGGGGGGGGGCTTTTAAAAGGGCTGAAAAACTCGGCTTATACTCAAGTATGTACGCTACTTTTGCATTGTAATCTTAGTTTGGAGCAAGTGGAATGTCTTTAAACCAGCTGAAAAAAATAGGATAACACCTCAGATGCCCCTGACAAACTGAGATAGTTGGAGGGCACGCAAACCAGGATCCAAAATTCAAGTGAAATTTTGAACTCTCAAAATTTCTGAAAAGTTTTACCTGCTTGAACAAAGGGAGAAGTAACTGATGCACACACACTTGCATATTATTATATTATATGGGGGTGGCTAATACATAACACAGTTGTGATGTTTTAAATACTTCGTTATTTTTAAAACATAATTAATTACATTGCCATAAATGGTCATTTTGCAGAGAGTGGACAAACACATGTGAGGGAATCTGGCTGCCTAGATGTTCTGTTGCGATTATTTAGGTAAGCAAAAAGCGGTGGCAAATAAATTGAGAAAGTTGATATCTATAAGATTAAATTTCTATTTTCATTTTATCTTCCACCACCTTCACCCCAACAGAACAATTATTTCAGTGTCCCAGGGAAATCTTTTGGATCAAAATATTAGTCAGTATCAGCTGTGGTCTTCAGTGTGCAGTGCTCTCTGTGCTTGTGTCAATAACCCTCAAAATGGTAATTTTTAAAATTAATGCTTTATTTTTCTGCTTGCAAATATGAGACAAAATGCAATTAGTTTTCAACACAACTAAATTTGAAGGGTTTTGTTCTTATGTACAGAGGACAACCAGAGAACCTGCAGTTTGGTTTTTTCACATGCAAAAGACTTGCTACAAAGCTCTATAAAGCCTGAGATAGTGCGTCCAATATGCTCATTCATTGGGCTCACAGTTGCAAACAACTGTAAGTATCTAAGGTTGTATTGATATTTTACTTTCAATTTAATACCATTTCAGAATTTGATGGGATAGCTTTTCGGTTTCCGTTGTGCTTAACATCCTGTATCTTCTGCAAAGACGCCTCCAAGGTCATCAAGGTTTTCCCCTGACATTAAGTTTAATCATGTTTGACTCTGATGGGTGGTGGCTATCTCCATTTCTAAGCTGAAGAGCTGCCGTTGTCCATAGACCCTTCCAAGGTCATGTGGCCAACATGACTGCATGGAGCACCGTTACCTTCCCACAGAAGCAGTACCTATTGATCTATTCACATTTGCATGTTTTCGAACTGCTAGGTTGGCAAAAGCTGGGGCTAACAGCAGGAGCTTACCCTGCTCCCTGGATTTGAATCACCGACCTTTCAATAAGCAAGTTCAGCAGCTCAGCAGTTTAACTTACTGTGCCACCAGAGGCTCTAATATGTCATGGTCAATATGAATTCTGTCTCTGTCATTTGGGGCATTAATTCCCACCACCCCTTATTTGGTGTCATTATCAATTTGATAAGCATTTCTTCTATTCCATCATCTAAGTCATTACTAAGTCATTGAGCAGGCATTTGCACATGCAGTATAACTGATTGATTGAGATTCATGGAATGACAAGACGATGCGACGGAAAATGATTTTAAGGATGAGACGCTGAGATTTGTATTTATGTTTTTAATTGTTAATTGATTATTGTTTTACATGGATATTTTATATGTAATTGTTTTGACTATATTTTTATCTTGTAGGGCACTGATTGCCAAATGTAAACCGCCTCAAGTCGCCTTTGGGCTGAGAGGGACGGTATACAAATAAACTAAATAAATAAATAAATAAATAAATAAATACTAAAGACTTTGCTGAACAACATTGTACCCAGGGTAGCATCAAGACGGCACTTTTCTGAATATTCCTTGTGCATGTTACAGCATAAGTAGCGTAAGAATTTTCAAAGGGAGAGAGGGTTGAAAAACTATGCTTCCAATTACTCGCTGCCCTTCTGCATCAATAATAAAGCAACAGAGGTTGCTTTTGTTGTCAAGTTTTCATTTTAATATCTGCAGAATTACCATTTTCCCACCTACCTAGCAGATTGAAAACAGCAATGTGGGTAGATGAATAGGAGCCACATTAAGCAGGGAGGTATTTTAGGCACAGCGTTTCGGAGGCAAGTTTACGAACAAAGAAAGCTCTTTGGCAAGGAGATAAAGCAACAGCACCCCCTTTATGGCCAGAACCAAGCACAGCCTCCAAAGATGCTGGAAAAATTTTAAAAGCCTATATATACTACTATCTGTTGTCTGTCTTGTCATTGTATAATCGGCATTGAATGTTTGCCATATATGTGTATTGTGATTTGCCCTGAGTCACCTTCGAAGTGAGAAGGGCGGAATAAGTACTGTAAATAAATAATATAACATAATATAATATAAAGCATTTTTGCAACTAATTTTGAAAAAAATAATATTATGCCTAAACATGTTAGCGATAAATCAAACAATTGAGAATATAGCTGGTAATTTTTATGTTATTGTTTGTTTGTTCAAGCAAAAATACAGTGTGTTTTTGTTTCTATTGGTGGATTGGCTGTGTTGGATGAGCTTCTGGCCAAGCTGACACATAATTCTCTTGTGAACTCTGCAAACACAAAACTTGCTGTAGTGGTGACCAAAACTTTGGATGCCTGTATTGCTGATAACTGTGAGTGAACAGACCCAAATATTTAAAAAAAAAAAAAACTTTTAGAAAATACAGTTTGTATTACACAATGATATACTGTATTTAGGCACCAGTCAGGCATCTGTGTGTTCCCATAGAACGAGGTGCTCATAGAGCATCCACTGATCTTATTGCCCGTGTTCTGTCTTGGTTTATGACCTTCCTGAAACCCTTGTTAAGAATATTTTAAGGTAGCAAAGAAAGTGGGACCATAAAAAAGTTCACCACGAAGGTAACTGCCCTCCTTCATTTTCCAAAATCTAAATTTCAGCTGTAGCTGTTCCCATCCAACAAACAGTGTTACTGCTTCTTTGGTGGATAACTGGGGAGAAGAGAAAGGGAGAAGCTGGTGCGTTTGCCTCTGCATGTTTTCCTCTCAACTGATGGGGCAATTGTTGTTCTGGGAGCAGATTGCTTGGAAAGTGAGTCGGGGCAGCTACTTTGTGGCACTTCATTGTACTTGTAGATCTATGAAAGCTTATTCAGCAAATAGAAGCTTGTGGCTTCCCTGTCAGGAGTGTGGTGATTTCATTCAGTCTTTCATTCCAGACTGTGTAGTAAAGGCTCAAACACATTGGCTAGGTCTTTTAAATTTGGAACACAACTGGATAACCCTACATTCTTAATATAAAAGCCACGAGCTGCCATCCTCCATGAACAGAAGTCTGAAGTAATTTTCTTCCTGTGTAGTTCCCCTTCTCCACAGATCTTTCCAAAGGGACTAGCAAGTAATTGAGAACACCAGGAGATACTGGGAGAAAGCTTTAGATAACTGGAAAAGGGATGCTGCTAGTCTTCTGTTGCAGTACATTTGTCAAATATTATCATAGAATCATAGAGTTGGAAGAGACCTCCTGGGCCATCCAGTCCAACCTCCTGCCAAGAAGAAGGAATATTGCATTCAAAGCACCCCTGACAGATGGCCATCCAGCCTCTGTTTAAAAGCCTCCAAAGAAGGAGCCTCCACCACACTCCAGGGCAGAGAGTTCCACTGCTGAACAGCTCTCACAGTCAGGAAGTTCTTCCTCATGTTCAGATGGAATCTCCTTTCTTGTAGTTTGAAGCCATTGTTCCATGTCCTAGTCTCCAGGGAAGCAGAAAGCAAGCTTGCTCCCTCCTCCCTGTGACTTCCTCATTGCTATCATATCTCTTCTCAGCCTTCTCTTCTTCAGGCTAAACATGCCCAGCTCCTTAAGCCGCTCCTCATGGGGCTTGTTCTCCAGACCCTTTGATCATTTTAGTTGCACTCCTCTGGACACATTCCAGCTTGTCAACATCTCTCTTCGATTGTGTTGCCCAGAATTGGACACAATATTCCAGGTGTGGTCTAACCAAGGCGGAATAGAGGGGTAGCATGACTTCCCTAGATCTAGACACTATGCTCCTATTGATGCAGGCCAAAATCCCATTGGCTTTTTTTGCCGCCACATCACATTGTTGGCTCATGTTTAACTTGCTGTCCACGAGGACACCAAGATCTTTTTCACACGTACTGCTCTCGAGCCAGGCATTGTCCCCATTTTGTATCTTTGCATTTTGTTTTTTCTGCCTAAGTGGAGTATTTTGCATTTGTCACTGTTGAACTTCATTTTGTTAGTTTTGGCCCATCTCTCTAATCTGTCAAGATCGTTTTGAATCCTGCTCCTGTCCTCTGGAGTACTGGCTATCCCTCCCAATTTGGTGTTGTCTGCAAACTTGATTATCATGCTTTCTAACGCTTCATCTAAGTCATTAATAAAGATTATGTCTGTGTATTCCATGTTAATGGGTATGTTTTCCTCGATAGCTACAATTGGAGTCAGCTTGCCAAAGTACAGTATCATGCCAAATCTTCTGACTCTGCTTTCTAACAACTTTCTGGATCCAGGAGAACAATTCAGTATTATACTTACCCTTGGACATTGTACAGAAAGCTGTGGTAAGATTCTGTTTTATATTTATGCAATTTCTGCTAATTTAAAATTGAATATACTAAATACATTCAAAATGCTGCACTAAGACACAGGTGACATTAGAATTCCACTGCATAATTATACTACTAGGAAGCCCATAAAAAGATTAGTATACTTTGTTTCCTTTTAAAAAGATATAGATTGACTATATTTTTAAGCTTAAAAATGAAAATGTAATCTAAGGCATGCTGATTTAGGAATATGTCCCACTGAAATAGAGAAACCTAATTTTAAGTTTTTGAAATGGGCCAGCTGAACATCTATCCTTTGTATTTACTAAGAGATACAAATAAATCAAACTGAGACTGTGGGACATTGTCTTTTGTGAGCTGCGCTCTCGCTCTTATGTATCTTGCTCCCCAAGCGCCCTGTCCATACATTATGATGGACCTTTCCATGCAGCAAATGATTTAAAGAACTTGACTGTGGCAAAATACCATGACCTATTTTCCAAAGCAAGGTGCAACATGCTCCCATCTGAATTGCTATGTGGGAGATTTGCAGGTATTCCATATAATGAAAGACTCTGCCCATGGAACAAACAGGAAGTAGAATGCTTCTACAACATTCTACTATCATTCAGTTTCTATGAACAAGCCCAAGCACAAGTTTCTACTTAGTGACAACCTTCCCCACGTGACCTTGAGGCACTTTCTTTCTGAGGCAGATTAATTCAGGAGAAAGCAGGTAAACCCTGTTTTGTCCTGAAATAGATACACCATTAAATCTGGTATTTTCTGAAAGGCTTGGGTCTAATGGGTAATTGTGCCTATGGGGATTCACCCATGGGTAGCTCTGGACCACCCGGGGGTGAGTCCCCACAGCCATCTCACTTGTTTGGGCTTCCAAAGGTCRGAATGAGCAAGATAGCAATACTAGTAAAAGAGGAAATAACTTACCTGGCTGCCATTAAGGTCCTCTTCACCCTCCCCCCCCCCTCCTGCCATGCCATTTCTYCTCACCAGCCTCAGATGTATTATGCTTCATTTTAGTGTTAGTGCTTCATTTTAACTCCAGGAGTTAGTGCTTCATTTTAACTCCAGGAGTACCTTAATGGCTGCTGGGTAAATTATTTCTTCTTTTAAGGGCTCTTTATTGGGGGGGGGGGGCTTCTGGGTGTCCTCCCAGTAGTTACTTGGGAGGGCATCTAGACCACCCCCCCCCGAAAGCCTGGGTTTGGGGTGCAGATTTGGGTATTGTCTAGAAGCCCGAGAACTAGATAAGCTTGGTGCTGCTGGTAACAATTTATAGTGGAAATTAGAATAAATTATGCTTGTTTCAGGTCCTGAATGTTTAATGCAGTGGAAAGATTCACTGCAATTAGCAGTTACTGAAAGTTTTTTTAAAAAAACAGAAAAATTTCTATATGTAATTAACATGTTTCACTGCAATATGACAAGATATGTTTAGTTTATGTAATACTCAGTCAGTCCCAAATCAATAGAACAAATTGGTGGCTTGAGAATGACAACTAAGAAGTCCTCATACATGAAGTTACTACAGCAGAGCATGTTGACAGATTGTATACATCAAATTCAGACATTGTTAATTGAAGCTGTGGTGAAAATTCAAAATTACTTGTACTTAATTGCAAAATTCATGCTTTTCCTTCAGATATACTGGGAGGAACTGCTAGTTAACAGTAGAGTTTGGATAACTTTGTCTTACTATGACTAATTATACTTTTTAGAAGAAAACCAGTATACTCTGGTGAAGAACAATGGCCTTGCAGTTATGATTCAAGCACTAACTGAATCACAGGATGAAGAACTACATAAGGCTGCAACTTTTGTGCTACAAAATTGCAAACAGGCCAGTAAGGTTACAATTATTACCATTTCCAGTTCTGAAACCTTCTAGGTCAGGCTTATCTAAACCGTGGCCCATGGGCTGAATGTGGCCCAGGACAGCTATTAATATGACCCAACACAAAATCATAAACTTACTGAAAACACTGTGAGATTTGTTTAGTGATTTTATTTATTTATTTATTTATTTATGAAATAAAATAAAAATAGAGTTATAAAATAGAGTTACTATGCAAGGACTTTTTTATTATCTGTGGTGGCAAATTTCATGAAAATTATGCATGGCCTTTTTTTTGCTCATCACCTAGAATAAGTATTAGTGTATTTTAGGTGTGAGCCAAGATAATTCTTCTTCCAATGTGGCCCAGGGAAGCCTAAAGGTTGGACAAGCTTGTAAATAACTTTGCTATGAGACCAAATTTAGGTGATCAACCCAGAAGATTTTATAAATAGAAAGTTGTTCTTTTTAGAATTTATCTAAGAATATTTATGTAAAAACATGATTAATATAGTGTGGGTAAATATGTGGGTCAGTAAAGTATAAGCGATTTCAGGTGTGAATAGTTTGAAATGTAGATTAGGTGTTATTTATAAAAGAGGAGGAGGAGGAGGAGGAGGAGGAGGAGGAGGAGGAGGAGGAGGAGGAGGAGGAGGAGGAGGAGGAGGAGGAGGAGGAGGAGGAGGAGGAGGAGGAGGAGGAGGAGGAGGAGGAGGAGGAGGGATCACAAGCCTGAAAAAGTTACAGAAAATGAACATGTCAAACTACTCTGGGACTTCTGAATTCAGACTGATAGAGTTTTGGAGCACAATACTCCTGACCTCACGATCATGTTAAAAAACAGTATGGATTGTTGATGTTGCAATCCCAGGTGACAGCAGGATTGAAGAGAAACAACTGGAAAAGCTGACACAATATGAGGATTTAAAGTTCAAACTGCAAAGACTCTGGCACAAGCCAATAAAGGTGATCCCAGTGGTGAGCAGCACACTGAATGCAGTGCCTAAAGACCTTGGCCTGCACTTAAACACAATCGGCAATGACAAAATTACCATCTGCCAGCTGCAGAAGGCCACCTTACTGGGATCTGCACACATTATTCACCGATACATCTCACAGCCCTAGACACTTGGGAAGTGTCCAACATGTGATCCAATACAACAGCCAGCAGAATGATCTTGTTTGCTGTGGACTCATCTTGTTGTGTTTCAAATAATAATAATACTATATTTATAGTCCACCCTATCTCCTTGAGGGGACTCAGGGCTGCTTACAGCGTAATAAAACATAGTGGCAAACATGCAATGCCAAGGATAACATAACTAGTCAAAACCCAGCTTAAATAAACAAAAAATAATTTAAATTAACATGACATAATAAATTACACACATTTAACATTTTAATCCATTAAAAACTCATTACATTTCATCTAAAATTATAGGCATTGGATGGTATGGCAGCAGATTAACAAAGGTAGATGTTCAATAACAAGGCGGGGTGTGAATAAGGTGTAATTAGTCCTTCTCGTCCTATGCTAAAGTGCATATATGAAAAGCTTTTTGAAGGAGAGGAGAGAGGGGGCCATTTTGGATTCATCCGGGAGGGGGATCATGGAGAGGGTCCTCTCTCTTTTGTTCCCACCAGTCATACTTGAGACGGAGGTGAGACCGAGAGGCTCATAGAATCATAGAGTTGGAAGAGACCTCATGGGCCATCCAGTCCAACCCCATTCTGCCAAGAAGCAGGAATATTGCATTCAAAGCACCCCCGACAGATGGCCATCTAGCCTCTGTTTAAGAACCTCCAAAGAAGGGCCTTCTCTGCAGACTGCAGCACTCGTGGTGGTTTGTACATGGAGATGGGGTTTTTCAAATAATCTGGGGCTGAACTGTTGATATCCTATTGTTCTAGCAAACCTATTGCAATTTGTTTTACTTATTCATAGATTTTACTGTAGAAAACAAGTTGTAGGAACTGATACTGAGGATTGTTACTAATGTTACATGGGAAGTTAGGGATTATCATGAAATGTTGACAGAAAGGGGGTGAGAGAGAGAAAAAGAAATATTGCAGCACTTTTTAAAAGAATACAAGTTTTATTTATTTACATTGATATAAACCCACTTCTTCAGCTGTCGTACAGAGTGCCAATAAATGCTCATATATAATGTATATTTACACAGTTGTGGAGATGGATTGGGATATAATATACACCCAGAAAGGTGTAAATCATGACCCTTGGACACACATTTCAAATATACATAATATGTATTATATGATACAGGTATTTCAGATCACTGTTACAGCTGATGTGTGGAAGTTACTATTGATACATGAAAACAATCTGCTGACCCAAAGTCAATTGTTCTGTGTTCAAAACTTTGTTATTCTCTCTCTAGATTTTATAAACAGACGTATTGCTTTTACACATTAACAATATAGAGATCTTGAAAGACTGGTACCAAAAAGTTTTCATTTACTATACAAGTTAAAACCTTACCTGGTTGTTTCATTCACATATGCATGTTAGTTTTGAATAAAAAGTTTGTTAAAACATGTTCTTTTTTGTGATGTACGAATCTATCCCTGTTCTTTCTGTGTTTTCACCTCAAGTGCCAAAGTTCATTTTAAAAGATGCAAAGCCCAGGAACACAGCTACTTCATTAACTAAGGTCCACCAGTATGTGTAGCATGAAATAGAATGCTTTATTGTTATGAAACAAAATTAAGGTGTTTTTTTTTCTTTTTTCAAGTGGAGAAATTGTCATGGCAGTTGAGTGAGCATCCAGCAAAAGTGGATGATAACATGGGACAATTGGAGGTAGATAGGCAGAACAAAGAAAGAAATCTTGAAGACCACTGGAAGAGAGCAAAAGAAATTTTACATAGAATTGAAAGGCTTGAAAAGGAGGTATGTCTCTGAATATGGCAATAGATAGAAATTAGGTTCAGTATGGTGTCAAATAAGGGTATAATAATATTTGAAACCATCATCCCTGTTCTCCAGGGTATATACTGTATATACTTGAGTATAATCCTAGTTTTTCAGACCTTTTTTTAGGCTGAAAAGGTCTCCCGCAGCTTATACTTGAGTCAATGTTATTTATTATTTTACTTTGTTGTTGTTATTATTATTACATTTATTATTTTACTCTATTTATTATTGTTATTGTTACATTTATTATTTTACTCTATTATTATTATTGTTATTATTATTATTTTACTCTATTATTATTATTATTGTTATTATTATTATTTTACTCTATTTATTATTATTGGAGGACTGTAAGCATATTTACATTGAAGAAGGTTAGAATAATGGTTTAATCAGAGTTGGACAGTCTTATCTTGAATTACAGTTCTATGTAAATATTCAAAAACATTTAACCTACTAATGCCTAAATTAATATAATTTTATTGGTATGTATTTTTATTTTGAAATTTACTTGTAGCTACCCTCGGCTTATACTCCAGTCAATACATTTTCCCAGTTTTTTGTGGTAAAATTAGGTGCCTCGGCTTATATTCAGGTCGGCTTATACTCGAGTATATACGGTAAATTAGCAAGCTAATACATTGGTTCTTTTGTTTTTAATGTTTTTAATGTACTCATTATGCACAGAGCATTTATATATATATATATATATATATATATATATATATGTGTGTGTGTGTGTGTGTGTGTGTGTGTGTGTGTGTGTGTGTGCTATTTCCCCAGTCAGAATCTGCCCAGTTAGTAATAAAGCGTTGTGGTGTGGTGTTGTTTTTGTGTGTGGGAGGAGGTTATTCACTTAATTACATCAATTTGATAGATAATATCCACAAAAGCTTAGGGAAAACAACTCTTGTTAAAAAAAGTTGGCATGCTTTTTGGGCTATGTATATTTTCTTCAGTTGTAATTTTCTAAATGCAGGAAAAAAGGGAAAAGCAAATAAATGATGGCAGTATTCCTCAAGAAATCATCCCACAGACGGCATCAAATCACCTTAAAGCAAGTACAAACAAGGAACAATTTAATAAAAGCATGACATCTACAAAAGTGGAACAACTACTGAATTCTGCGTCTGCTCAGCTAATGGCTGCAAAATTTGTAAATCCTCCTTCTTCTAAGAATGAATTACTAAAGCTTGCCAAAAGAAGTTGGACCGATGCTCCAATTAGTCAAAATGAATGTCATAACCACCATCATTCCCCAAATAAAGTTGGCACAGAGAATATAAACAAAGTCCATGTGAGAAGTAGAAACGCTATTTGTGAATCCTGTAAATCTGCTGTTCAGGCAAGGTCAGATTCTTTTAATTCACAACTATAGACTAAATATTATTATTGAGTTGGATCGAGACTTGCTGTATTTATTTGTGTATAAACTAATCTCACGTATCAGCTGAGGACAGGTTTTGGTAGCAAAATTATTGTGAAAAGGGTTAAAATCCTATTTTAAATTACATTGGAAGATTTTGAAACAACTTTCAAATATTTGCTTTAACCAGCATATTTCTTGCTTCTTCATGATTTTTGGGCAGTCCTGCAAATAAGAACTATATACTGTATATACTCGAGTATAAGCCGACCCGAATATAAACCGAGATACCTAATTTTACCACAAAAACTGGGAAAATGTATTGACTCGAATATAAGCTGAGGGTGGGAAATGTAGCAGTTACTGGTCAATTTCAAAATAAAACTAGATACCAATAAAATTACATTAATTGAGGTACCAGTAGGCAGAGGGGCCCTAGGTAATTTTCAAGGGTAAGCAAACAGTATTTTGGCGCCGCCCCCGCCCCCCCCCCAACCAATCGCTGATATATATTTTCTGTTAATCGTGGAAGTTCTGTGCCATATTTGGTTCAATTCCATCATCGGTGGAGTTCAGAATGCTCTTTGATTGTAGGTGAACTATACATCCCAGTAACTGCAACTCACATATGTCAAGGTCTGTTTTCCCCCATGAGCGCCTTAAGAGCGCCCCTGGGCAAAATCAACTATACTGCAAATGCATACTTTGCATAATGGCTTGAGCCGTCCCTGCCAGTAGGTTAAATGTTTTTGAATATTTACATAAAACTGTAATGTAAGACTGTCCAGCTCTGATGAAACCATTATTCTAGCCTCCTTCAATGTAAATGTGCTTACGTATCCTTCCAATAATAATAAAGAGAGCAAAATAATAAATTTAATAACAATAATAAATAGAGTAAAATAATAAATGTAATAAATAGAGTAACATAATAAATGTAATAAAAATTTGGTCGTGTCAGGAGCAACTTGAGAAACTGCAAGTCGCTTCTGGTGTGAGAGAATTGGCCGTCTGCAAGGATGTTGCCCAGGGGATGCCAGGATGATTTGATGTTTTATCATCCTTGTGGGAGACTCCTCTCATGTCCCTGCATGAGGAGCTAGAGCTGGTAGAGGGAGCTCATCTGCCTCTCCTAGGATTTGAACCTGCGACCTGTCGGTCTTCAGTCCTGCCGGCACAGGGGTTTAACCCATTGCACCACTGGGGGCTCCGTAATAAAAATAATAATAGAGTAATAACATAAATATAATAAAAATAATACTAATAACAGAGTAAAACAATAAATAACCGTGGCTCAAGTATAAGCCAAGGGGAGCTTTTTCAGCCTAAAAAAGGGGCTGAAAAACTAGGCTTATACTCAAGTATATACAGTAAATCACCTGGGAATTCTTTTCTATTAAAATGTAATATCTTAGCATTATTACCATATAATATAGGAAATTGTGGTGGTTATGTGAAGGTATGAATGAACAAAACGAGTATATATTTTGCACCCACATTTTCATTTTTGATTCCTGCAGAGAATTCTTGTTTGAGCAACCAGATGTTGTAATTCCACGCAAACCTCAACAAGAACAAAATACAGGTAGGCACAGATTCTAATTTCAGATTGTTGGAAATAGCAACCTTTTACAAATCTCCTATACTAGTTATTTGTTATGTATATAATTCAGATTGTTTACTATATCGTATGTGTATATATTGGTATACAGTTTTCTCTTAACTCTATGTTGTTTGAGGTTGTGGGAGGGACTACAGACCATGTGATCGGATCTCGGCCTATTCAGACTGAGACTCCAATTTAGAAGTGTTGTGTTGTGTTCAATCAGTATTGTATGGTCAGTGTTTGTTATGTATTAGACATGAGACTGCATCAGACTACATGAGTTATGCTTTAAATAAGACAGAGAAAAGACTGCAACAAAATGCCTTAGCGAACTTGCTGTTTAAACTTTCAACTGATAAGCAATGTACCTGTCTGCTGAATACAAGAAGTTTGTAAGTAAACCAGCTATGTTATTTTTAATGAAGACTATCTTATTTTTTACCTTACCTTACTGGCATGAGAAATAAGGGCCACTGACATTCAACTTCTATCCCCATACCAAAAAAGGGAAATGCGAAAGACTGCTCAAACTTCCGTACAGTGGCCCTTATTGCTCATGCCAGTAAGGTAATGCTCAAGATCCTGCAAGGAAGACTCCAGCAATACATGGAGCGAGAGTTGCCAGATGTTCAAGCTGGGTTTAGAAAAGGCAGAGGAACGAGAGACCAGATTGCCAATATTCGCTGGATAATGGAGAAAGGCAGGGAGTTTCAGAAAAACATCTATTTCTGCTTCATCGACTATTCTAAAGCCTTTGACTGTGTGGATCATAATAAATTGTGGCAAGTTCTTGGTGGGATGGGCATACCAAGCCACCTTGTCTCTCTCCTGAGGAATCTGTACAAGGACCAAGTAGCAACAGTCAGAACTGACCACGGAACAACAGACTGGTTCAAGATTGGGAAAGGCGTACGGCAAGGCTGCATCCTCTCACCCAACCTTTTTAACTTTTATGCAGAACACATCATGCAATGTGCGGGGCTTGATGAATGCAAAGCTGGGGTGAAAATTGCTGGAAGAAACATTAACAACCTCAGATATGCAGATGACACCACTCTGATGGCCGAAAGCGAGGAGGAGCTGAGGAGCCTTCTAATCAAGGTGAAAGAAGAAAGCGCAAAAGCTGGGTTGCAGCTAAACCTCAAAAAAACCAAGATTATGGCAACAAGAATGATTGACAACTGGGAAATAGAGGGAGAAAATGTGGAGGCCATGACAGACTTTGTATTTCTAGGTGCAAAGATGACTGCAGATGCAGACTGTGGCCAGGAAATCAGAAGACGCTTACTTCTTGGGAGGAGAGCAATGTCCAATCTCGATAAAATAGTAAAGAGTAGAGACATCAGACTGGCAACAAAGATCCATTGCCTAGTCAAAGCCATGGTATTCCCTGTAGTAACCTACGGATGTGAGAGCTGGACCTTAAGGAAGGCTGAGCAAAGGAAGATAGATGCTTTTGAGCTGTGGTGTTGGAGGAAAGTTCTGAGAGTGCCTTGGACTGAGAAGATCCAACCAGTCCATACTTCAGGAAATAAAGCCTGACTGCTCATTGGAGGGAAGGATACTAGAGCAAAATGAAGTACTTTGGCCACATCATGAGGAGACAGGAAAGCCTAGAGAAGACAATTATGCTGGGGAAAGTGGAAGGCAAAAGGAAGAGGGGCCGACCAAGGGCAAGATGGATGGATGGCATCCTTGAAGTGTCTGGACTGACCTTGAGGGAGCTGGGGGTGGTAACGGCCGACAGGGAGCTCTGGCGTGGGCTGGTCCATGAGGTCACGAAGAGTCGGAGACGACTGAACGAATGAACAACAAATCTTATTTTTGTCTTTCAAGAGCATGATTTAAAACCAAATATATTTCATGGGAGAGTAGATGTTTGGGCCCCTTGGTGGTTGTTGTTCATTCGTTCAGTCGTCTCCGACTCTTCGTGACCTCATGGACCAGCCCACGCCAGAGCTCCCTGTCGGCCGTCACCACTTGGTGGTGCAGCGGGTTAAACCACTGAGCTGCTGAATTTGCTGACTGAAAGGTTGGTGGTTCGAATCCAGGGAGTGGGGTGAGCTCCCATTGCTAGCCCCAGCTTCTGCCAACCTAGCAGTTCAAAAACATGCAAATGTGCTTCGAGGCAACTGAAATAACACTTCTGGAGATCTGCTATATATTTTGTGCATTGACATATCTTTGTTCATAAAAGATAACCAGGTATATCAGTCTAACAGTTGAGAAACCTAATTTGCCTTGGATAAATACTTGTGAATATTTACCACTAAAGAAAAGATTCACTCAAAACGAGTTTTTTGGTCTTCTCAGAAAGGTCATGCTTTACAAAAAGGTTATGATTTTCCTAATGGTAGTGAATACCAATTAATCTCCAAAAGGTCACGCTTCCAAAGGCTATGGAGTTTCTTGCTTTCCGAAAGGTTATGATCTCAAAGGCCATCCTTTCGCCCAAAACAGATATTACTAAAATGACTGTGGGAAATTAAATTAGTTTACATTAAATGGATGACAAAGAGTCATACAGTGTACCTATATGCCACCGTATATAATAGTTTCTCTCATGTAGTAGAATTTCTTTAAAAAAAATTGAATACATTATGAGAATGAGCCCCCAGTGGCACTGTGGGTTAAAGCACTGAGCTGCTGAACTTGTTGACAGACGGTTGCAGGTTTGAATCCGGGGCGCGGCGTGAGCTCCCGCTGTCAGCTCCAGCTTCTGCCAACCTAGCAGTTCGAAAACATGCAAATGTGAGTAGATCAATAGGTATCGCTCCATCTGGAAGGTAACGACGCTCCACACAGTCATGCTGGCCACATGACCTTGGAGGTGTCTACAGACAATGCTGGCTCTTCAGCTTAGAAATGGAGATGAGCACCACATCCCAGAGTCAGACACGACTGGACTTAATGTCAGGGGAAAACCTTGACTTTTACTTATGAGAAAGAGGCATTGTATAAATAAAGGTAATAATCATCACCACCTCCAAAAGACAAGGTCTTGGGGTGTCAGATGACAGTTTTCTTTCCAGCAAAGGAGAGGGAAACATCCTGTCATAGATTGATCCCCTCATTGCCTCTCAGGCAGGGAAAGGCCACTGGAGGTACACTCTCACACAATTTTAATCTTCACTTGACATTTATAAATAAAGATTATGACAATATATAATTATGTTTTAATGAATATTCATAATTTATAACATATTTTCTCTTTCATAGAGCCACAATGTTTAAGCATAACAAGCCAGAGAACAGGACATGTTACTGAAAACACTAGCATATCAGTGCTAAGGTGCTCAGGTGATTTTTAAAATCTTGTTTTAAGATACCAGTCTATATACTATCTGCTTGAAAGGAAGTCACATTGAGTTCACTTGAAGTGGCTATTCAGCCTAGGCTTGTATATGACATCAGCCTATATTGGGGAATTGTCTTGATAGTCACCGATTTATTATTTTGAGATATCAAATTTTCATTTTTATATTTATAGTTGCAATTACATTTTATTATAAAAAAATAATCATGCCATGAAAAATTGGGCAAAAATTCAATTTGTTTTTGATCAAATAAAAGGCATGTGTCCGATTTAATATTACATTTACTGAAGACATCATAGTAAATATTTGCTTACTTTACAGTGGTTAAATATGAAAAAAAGACATAACAAAAGAATGTGTTTGTTGCCATGGGATAAAATAAAAAAATAAATATCAGGCTGAAATATTTCATGGAATAATTTAATGCTATAATTTCTAAACAAATGTTGTGGTTTTTTTCAGGTTGTCGAACGACAGGACTTTCCTTAAATAGCAGAAATTTTAGTAAGATTTTGCAGACTTGTCAATATCTATGTGAGAAACACAGACTTATTCTACAGACTGAAATGAAATATAAAAGGATGCTTAAAAGATCTATTATTTTCCACAGAAATACATCTCTGAACTATAATGGTAATTTTGAGAGCCCTTCATAATTTGTATTTTTTATCATTTTATTTATTTGCCAAAGCAGTAAGGAATTCTTAATAGAAAAAATTTCTTTATTCCTTTGAACCTATGAAAAAAAAAAATACACCACTGTTTCACTGCATTATATTTACCTTCCAAGACATGTGATCTGCAACACAATAGATCACAACACAATATTTGCTCATTTAACTTAACTTTTGAGTAGTTAAAAAACATAATAAAAGGTAAATGGATGTGAATTTCACATCCTGCAAGGAAGAAAAACTGAATGGATTGTCGAAGGCTTTCATGGCTGGAATCACTGAGTTGTTGTGAGTTTTCCAGACTGTATGGCCATGTTCCACAAGGATTCTGCCTGCCATAGATGTGGGTGAAACATCACAAAAGAATGCTTCTGGAACATGGTCATACAGCCCAGAAAACTCACAGCAACCCAGATACAGAATAGGTTTGTAAAGATATGCAGAACAGAAGGGAATTGTGCATGAACTTTACAAGAGCCTAGCTCTGTATCAGCAAACAGATCCAATGGGACTTGTTTCTGAGTAGACATGAGGGCATACATTGAGTTAAATAACTATTCTGGCTCTAACTTACAGCTCTAGGTTTTGATGACCAACCATGGAGTAATGAGACCACATACAGAAAGTTGGGTTGAACGAGGGCCACTTTATTTGATCTATGTAATAAAGAAAGTATTGATAGAGTAACGGAACCAAAGGGGGAAGGGAATGCTGCATTTTCAATAATTTAATATAACTGAAGTATCTATTCTTTCAAACAGAAAATCCTCAAACCAAACAGGATGCATGCTGCAAAAAACAAACCGTCAGCGCAAAATATAGCTTTAAAGGCCAGGATCAGAATGAAAAAGATACTTACTTATTAGAAGATGAGGTACTGCCAACTAAATTTTCCACTTCAATCTCTGGATATAGATCTTATCTCTAATACGGGAAATAGTGTTCTTTGTAGAAAGTACAATTGATAATCACGGTACGTGGAGAAACAGGATTAATAACACCATTATGAATTATTTTATACAACTTATGGATGCTGTAAATAATTAATTCTTTCATTTAAGACAAGCAATATTTGATTATTAAAACCTAATTAGATAAATTAATATTTAAATTGATAAATTGATTATTAAAAGGTAATTAGATAAAAAACGGCCCAGAAATTTCAATTGGTACAACGGGCGGCAGCCAGGTTACTAACTGGTGCTTCTTACAGAGAGCAGTCAACCCTCCTGTTTAAGGAGCTCCACTGGCTGCCGTTCATTTTCCGGTCCCAATTCAAGGTGCAGGTTCTGACCTGCAAAGCCCTGAACGGTTTGGGACCTGCCTATCTGCGTGACTGCATCTCTGTGTACGAACCCACACGATCTCTTCATTCATCGGGAGAGGCCCTGCTCACGATCCCACCTGCATCGCAAGCGCGATTGGTGGAGACGAGGGAGAGGGCCTTCTCAGTGGTGGCCCCCTCTGGAACTCACTTCCCAGGGACATCAGACTTGCCCCAACTCTGGCAGTCTTTAGGAGGAGCCTGAAAACATGGTTGTTCCAGTGTGCCTTCCCAGAATAAGGAAACTCTCAGCAATATGCCCTCAAAATGCACTTTATCATTGAGTTAGGACTGACTGCGTTCCCTCACTTCTCTCTGAAAATGTTGACGTCACATCAGCATTATTTTAATTTTAATCTATTACATTTGGCCCGACCATTGGTTTTTAAATGCTTGTATGTCACTGTTGACTGTTTATTGCTTATTTTTGTTTATGTGATTTATATGAATTGTATTGTATTTATTGTTTTATTTGATGTTTTGTTTATTGATGTATTGTGGACTTGGCCTCATGTAAGCTGCACCGAGTCCCTTGGGGAGATGGTAGCAGCGTACAAATAAAGTTTATATTATTGTTATTATTATTATTATTATTATTAATATTAATATTATTATTATTGATGTTTTATCAATGGATGTATCCCTTCAAATCCTGCTACCTGACACCAGCCTAGCAATAGTCCCTTCCAATTACACTATGAGCCAGTTAATAGCAAATATAAAATTTATTATTATTATTATTATTATTATTATTATTATTTATGGTCCACTTTTTCCCTCTACAAAGGAGACTCAAAATGGCTTACAGTAAAAGCAATGTAATACAATTTAAATCCTAAAAATATACAAAAATTAAAATAAAATTAAATATTAATGGCATTAGAAATAGCTAAAATCTTTAAAATTGACCAAAAACATATTCATAGTTGTATCAGAAAAGAGTGAGAATCATTAAACCCTCTGGATGCTATCTAGCCCAGTAATCACTGAATGCATCTCTCAAGGATGTCAGGTAAAGGTCTCAGTCCGGTTCCTTCAGAATTTATCCTATTTTATATAAATATGCTTTAAAGTAGATACAGAAAAAATATTGGGAAAATTGTGTTTAGCCCTTTCCCTGCTCTCTTTTTCCTTTACGAAAGCTGATGTTACTGCACTGTATTATATGTGTGTGTGTGTGTAAAAGTTATTTAAAAACTATATTTGGTCTGATGCAGAACATAGGATTTTAAGCATGTAAAACATTCCTTTTAGCACTGAACTATAAACCTGCCCCAGATGTATGTTGTTTTAACTCTTATTGCAGAACACTGAAGTTCCTCTATCAGGTGTATTGGCAAGAGCTTTTAAAAAAGTCAAACGGAGAACCAGGAAAGATTTTACATCAGAAGAAATAATGTACCTTCTCAATGGCGTAAAGAAAATGGGACATCACTGGAATGCCATTTTGTGGGCATACCCATTTCAAAATGGAAGGACCAATGTTGATCTGGCGAAGAAATACTTCAAATTGCAGGTACTGTTATTTCAAATTGATTTTGTAGTCTTCCAAAGGCGCCCAATCCCATCTGATCTTGGAGGCTAAGAAGGAAGGACTACCAATAAATATGAGGTACTGGCAAAATCACCTCTGAGTATTCTTTGCCCAAGAAAATCCTATGAAATTTGTGGGGTTGCAAAAAGTTGTCAGGCAATTTGAAGGTCTATTCAAACAAATACCCAGTCTTCTTTATACAGGGTGATGAAGAGATAGGAAACTTTCACTGTCTTCTGTTTGTTGTTTATTCATTCAGTTGTTTCGTGACATGATGGACTAGCCTGTTGTCTAAATAAAGATTATTATTATTATTATTCCTATGACTTCCCCTCACATATTTATACAGTGTTATCATGTCTCCTCTCAGCCTTCTCTTCTGCAGGCTAAACATGCCCTGCTCTTTAAGTTGCTCCTCATAGGGCTTGTTCTCCAGACCCTTGATTATTTTAGTCGCCCTCCTCTGGACACATTCCAGCTTGTCAACATCCCCCTTGAATTGCGGTGCCCAGAATTTGACATAGTATTCCAGGTGTGGAGTTTGATTTGTCTTTGTCTTTTCTGTCTTACAGAAGAATGACAACCAAAAAATATGCAACATCAAAAGAATGCTGTCAGACAAATAGGATTAATTCCGATTTAAACTCATCAGCTCATATTTATTTCATAAAGACCATTTCTTTCTTTCTTTGTTTTTGATTATTTAGAGTTGTATAGGTTCTTAAAATCTTTAAACTAGCAGCACTGAATTGTTGTTAAAACTTAGAACACATATGAGCAGTAGTTTCATATTGTGATACTATCGTAAGAATTTCAGCCACTGTATTTTCCAGTGTTTTACTACCAAACATGAACACATTATATCGCTTGCTATGTAATGCTACTGCAAAAGTTTGTTCTATGTTAAATATATGTGGGGTGCACTTACTAAGGAATATTTATTTATTTATTTAAAACGTTTATATTCCGCCCTTTTCACCCCGAAGGGGACTTTTCACCCCAAAGGACGGAGCAAACATTCAATGCCGGAACAAGAATTCATATATACATACATAAACATGAAAAACATTTATCTCAATATTAAAATACACCATTTAAAACCGTCTTGGTCATCTGCGTCAAATGTAATTGGCCTGGTAATCTTTCCTATTGCTGTTTTATTGCCCTGTCCCAAAAGCTTGGTCCCACAGCCAAGTTTTTATGAGGTATAATTCCTTTCCCCCCTTTTATCATTTCCTGCAATAACATAGCAGAACCAATTTCTTATCTCCCACCCTTTGCCCTTTTTCATCATCAGAATAAATAATTAATCTGAATTAAAATATCTCCTGGGAAATTCATATCTGGTGTTCTTACTGCATGTAGATATAGTAAAAGTAAAGGTTTCCCCTGACATTAAGTCTAGTTGTGTCCTACTCTGGGGGGTGGTGCTCATCTCAATTTCTAAGCCGAAGAGCCGTCGTTGTCTGTAGACACCTCCAGGGTCATGTGGCCAGCATGACTGCATGGAGCACTGTTACCTTCCTGTATTTATTTATTTGTCGTGTCAGAGCAACCAGTCCATTATATTACATTTCTAACAGAACAAAGCAAACAAACAGACAGTAGTTGGTTAAATGTCCTTTGACCAGTATCAGTACCTTCCTGTAGAAGTGGTACCTATTGATTTACTCACATTTGCATGTTTTTTCTGAACTGCTAGGTTGACAAAAGCTGGGGCTAAAAGCGGGAGCTCACCCCCCTCCCTAGATTCGAACTGTCAACCTTTCGGTCAGCAAGTTCAGCAGCTCAGCAGTTTTACCTGCTGCACCACCAGAGGGCCCACATGTAGATATGGACCATTGCTTTCCCAGGACAAACAGGGGCACAGATTTATATAAGCCTTGTGCATACTGATTTTAACATAAAGATATGCATTTCAAAGCAATGAATACAAGATAGCAGAAATCCCAACTATAATTAATATCAAAATATAGTATTCTCTCTTTTTTAAAAAATAATTTTTATTAATGGATAGTATGGTTACATGGAAAGTGGGAGAATATTGTGAAGAAGATAGAAAAGTAGGAAACGATAGTTAAGCCCAAGAAGACAAAAAAAAAAATCAAACATAGGCAAAAGTGTACCCCAAAAGTGTGAAATCTCTCCGGTTTAAAAAAAAATGTAAGTGGAGGGAGAGAGGGGGAAAAAATGGGAAAAAAAAGAATAATAAAAAAAATTAAAAATTGGGTTTGACTTCCATCTGTTCTTTGAAGATCCTTTATGCGTTTTCTCCCTTCAAATTAATCAAAATTGCTTTCCTGGTTTATTTTTTATATATAGTATATAGTATTCTCGTCATGGTGGGGAAAAGAATGACTGGTGCATTCTAGGGGCCCTTCCACACACACATATAACCCAGAATATCAAGGCAAATAATCTACAATATCTGCTTTGGACCTGGATTATCTGAGTCCACACTGCCATACAATCAAGTTCAATATAGATTTTATACAGCTGTGTAGAAGGGACCTAGATCTGATGTCCAGGTGCTGTTCTTCTTGTGGCCTCTTCTTCTTATGGCTCTTGAGCCTTCATCATCATATTATAGGCGATCCCTTGTGGTCGAGTATGATTGCCTCCCTTGGGTAGAGTATTAGCAACAGGTCCATAAGTGACTGAAGAGACCTATTCTGGACCCACGTGGTCTTTCACAGCGAGGACATGCATCCCTAGATGGAACGCGGACAAGAGATTGCTTGATGCATCTTCCTCTTGACACATTTTTCCCTTTCATCCTCTTATTCATTCCTCCTCAAAATCCACAGCTCTGTAGAGGTTGGGTTGATGTAGGTTTTTTGGGCTATATGGCCATGTTCTAGAAGCATTCTCTCCTGACATTTCGCCCACATCTATGGCAAGCATCCTCAGAGGTTGTGAGGTCTGTTGGAACTAGGAAAATTGGGTTTATGTATCTGTGGAACATCCAGGCTGGGACAAAGAACTCTTGTCTGTTGGAGGTAGGTGTGAATGTTTCAACTGACCACCTTGATTAGCATTTGATGGCCTGGCAGTTTTTTTGGTGTGGCTTGTTAGTGCCTGTTGAGAAGTGATTAGATGTCTGTTGTTTTGCTGTTGTAATTTTAGAGGGTTTTTTTTAAATACTGGTAGCCAGATTTTGTTCATTTTCATGGTTTCTTCCTTTCTGTTGAAATTGTCCACATGCTTATGGATTTCAATGGCTTCTCTGTGTAGTCTGACATGGTGGTTGTTCGAGTGGTCTACTGTGCCTTTGATGAGTAGGTATACAATTTCACATGACTGTTTAGCTTAAAGTTCTGTCATTAGAGTAGATTTACCTCCCTTGTGGGAAAGCTTGACTCCACAACCCCCGCCATAATGAGTACTACTCCGCATATTATCTGCTTCTCCCTTTTATCTTGTCTGCGATTTTAATTTGTTTTAATTTGTTTTTTAATTATTACATGTAGCCTACCCATTGTCTCTGTGCCTGTGTCTATTGTAATTCTTATATTGTTATGTATTCATATGTTTTATGTAATAATGATGTTGTTTATTGTTTGTGTTTTCGGTTGTGTTTCGGTTTTCTTATTGTAATTGTTGTTTGGGCCTGGCCCCATGTAAGCCACTCTGAGTCCCCATTGGGGAGATGGTGGCGGAGTATAAATAAAGATTATTTTTGTATTGTCGAAGGCTTTCATGGCCGGAATCACTGGGTTGTCGTAGGTTTTTTTTGGGCTATATGGCCATGTTCTAGAGGCATTTCTCCTGATGTTTCGCCTGCATCTATGGCAAGCATCCTCAGAGGTAGTGAGGTCTGTTGGAACTAGGAAAATGGGTTTATATATCTGTGGAATGACCAGGGTGGGACAAAGGACTTTTGTCTGTTGGAGCTAGGTGTGAATGTTTCAACTGACCACCTTGATTAGCATTTGATGGCCTGGCAGTGCCTGGGGCAATCTTTTGTTGAGAGGTGATTAGATGTCCCAAATTGTTTTCTCTCTGTTGTTTTGCTGTTGTAATTTTAGAGTTTTTGGTAGCCAGATTTTGTCCATTTTCATGGTTTCCTCCTTTCTGTTGAAATTGTCCACATGCTTGTGGATTTCAATGGCTTCTCTGTGTAGTCTGACATGGTGGTTGTTAGAGTGGTCCAGCATTTCTGTGTTCTCAAATAAAATGCTGTGTCCAGGTTGGTTCATGAGGTGCTCTGCTATGGCTGACTTCTCTGGTTGAAGTAGTCTGCAGTGCCTTTCATGTTCCTTGATTTGTGTTTGGGCCTTGCTGCGTTTGGTGGTCCCTATGTAGACTTGTCCACAGCTGCATGGTATACAGTAGACTCCTGCAGAAGTGAGAGGATCCCTCTTGTTGTTTGTCAGCAAACAACAGAGGGGAAACAATCACATCTAATCACCTCTCAACAAAAGATTGCCCCAGGCACTGCCAGGTCATCAAATGCTAATCAAGGTGGTCAGTTGAAACATTCACACCTAGCTCTCCAGCAGACAAGAGTCCTTTGTCCCACCCTGGTCATTCCACAGATATATAAACCCATTTTCCTAGTTCCAACAGACCTCACTACCTCTGAGGATGCTTGCCATAGATGCAGGCAAAACGTCAGGAGAAAATGCCTCTAGAACATGGCCATATAGCCCGGAAAAACCTACAACAACCCATTATTATTATTATTATTATTATTATTATTATTATTATTATTATTTATTAGACGTATCAGGGCAGCCAGTCAGTTATATTACATTTCTAAAGAACAAAGCAAACAAACAGAGAAAATACAAAATGTGTGAGTTTGGTAGTTGATTAAATGTCCTTTGACCAGTATCTGGCCACTTGGAGTGCTTCTGGTGTTGCTGCAAGAAGGTCCTCCATGGTGCATGTGGCAGGGCTCAGGTTGCATTGCAGCACATGGTCAGTGGTTTGCTCCTCTCCGCACTCGCATGTAGAGGATTCCACTTTGTAGCCCCATTTCTGAAGGTTGGCTCTGCATCTTGTGGTGCCAGAGCGCAGTCTGTTCAGCGCCTTCCAAGTCGGCCAGTCCTCTGTGTGCCCAGGGGGGAGTCTCTCCTTTACTTACTTACTTAGGCGATCCCTCGTTGGACGAGTAAGATGGTTTTCCTTGATGACTATTTTTGTGGGTTTGTAGGTGGCTGTGGAGCCCTATTCTTGACCCGCATCTTCTCCCAACTCTCATTTGGTATCAGCCATTGGTTGAGGTTCTGGGTTTGAGCCTGCCACTTTTGGACTCTCGCTTGCTGAGGTGTTCCAGTGAGTGCCACTGTAGATCTTAGAAAACTATGTCTGGATTTAAGTCGTTGACGTGCTGGCTGATACCCAAACGGGATGAGCTGGAGATGTCTCTGCCTTGGTCCTTTCACTATTGGCTGCCACTTCCTGGCAACATCGAGAAGCAATTATTATTATTATTATTATTATTATTATTATTATTATCCTCACTACCTCTGAGGATGCTTGCCATAGATGCAGGCGAAACATCAGGAGAAAATGCCTCTAGAACATGGCCATATAGCCCGAAAAAACCCACAAGAACCTATTATTTTTATTTTTATTATTATTACACTGTTCAACGGAGAAAAAGTTGCGGGCCTGAAAATAGCTGTTCTTTTATGATTTTGGGGTGCTGAAAACGAAAATGACATTTAAAAATGTATATTGGCTCTAGTTTTTATGATATAAGCAATCACGTGATCACGTATGGTTGAAAAAAATGCATGTTGCGACTTACACTATGGAAGATTCTAGAATATTCTAGAAAGTTTGATGACGCAGTATTAGTGCCGTGTGCAAAAGCCAGAAAGCCCTATATAAGGCCAGACTTTTGAACGGTGAGGGTCAGTCAGTTGAAGACTGAGACAGTATCGATGTTAGTTTCCATCAACAAGTTGCCACTATGGAAAAAAGATATCAAGGCAAATGGACTCCGTCAATGCTGTCAGACTACTGCTGGAGCATTGTAAGAGACAATCCTTTCCTTGAATACAAAAGAAAAGTCAAGAGAAGCAAACAGGATATAAACTAAAGTCACGATTAAGCGACATTTAAACTTTCAGACTTTTCAACTGCATTAGGCCTACTAATATAGTTTCTTGCTGCACAAACATAAACAATAGACTAATTAAATAAATATTTCTCATGTATAAACTATTGGCAATATAATTTGACTAAAATTTAGTAAATATTCACGGTTTATATACATGCAGTAAGGTTAGGCGCATTATCATAATATTAACAAATTACCTAATGTGGGGAAAATTGAAATAGCTGTTGCATAAAAACCAGAGCCAATTAACACATTTAATTATTATATTTGAGTTCAGCATGTTAAATTTATTAAGAAACGGCACATTTTGTTTCCGTAACTGAGAAAAACTGAAAAATTGTAGAACAGTATTATTGTTGTTGTTGTTGTTGTTGTTGTTGTTGTTGTTGTTGTTGAAGGCTTTCATGGCTGGAATCACTAGGTTCTTGTAGGTTTTTTCAGGCTATAGGGCCATGTTCTAGAGGCATTTCTCCTGACGTTTCGCCTGCATCTATGGCAAGCATCCTCAGAGGTAGTGGGGTCTGTTGGAAATAGGAAAATGGGTTTATATATCTGTGGAATGACTGGGGTGGGGCAAAGAGCTCTCTGCTGAAGCTAGGTGTGAATGTTTCAGCTGATCACCTTCATTAGCATTTAAAGGCTTGGCTGAGCCTGGGAAAATGTTCTGTTGAGAGGTGTTAAGATGTGCCTGGTTGTTTTCTCTCTGCTGTTTTCTGTAGTAATTTTAGAGTTTTTTAATACTGGTAGCCAAATTTTGTTCATTTTAATGGTTTCCTCCTTTCTGTTGAAATTGTCCACATGCTTGTTGATTTCAGTGGCTTCTCTGTGTAGTCTGGCATGGTGGTTGTTAGAGTGGTCCAGCATTTCTGTGTTCTCAAATAATATGCTGTGTCCAGGCTGGTTCATCAGGTGCTCTGCTATGGCTGATTTCTCTGGTTGAAGTAGTCTGCAGTGCCTTTCATGGTCCTTGATTCGTGTTTGGGCAATGCTGCGTTTGGTGGTCCCTATGTAGACTGACCTTGAAGGAGCTGGGGGTAGTGACGGCCGACAGGGAGCTCTGGTCACGAAGAGTCGGAGACGACTGCACGAATGAACAACAACAACAATATAGACTTGTCCATAGCTGCACGGTATACGGTAGACTTCTGCAGAAGTGAGAGGATCCCTCTTGTTGTTTGTGAGCAAACAACAAAGAGGAAACAACCAGGCACATCTAATCACCTCTCAACAAAAGATTGCCCCAGCACTGCCAGGCCATCAAATGCTAATCAAGGTGGTCAGTTGAAACATTCACACCTAGCTCAAGCAGACAAGAGTTCTTTGTCCCACCCTGGTCATTCCACAGATATATAAACCCATTTTCCTAGTTCCAATAGACCTCACTACCTCTGAGGATGCTTGCCATAGATGCAGGCGAAACGTCAGGAGAAAATGCCTCTAGAACGTGTCCATATAGCCCGAAAAAACCTACAACAACCCAAAGTTGTTTATTATTATTACTATTATTATTATTCCAGACACTCGCTGGAACACCCCAGCAAGCGAGAGTCCAAAAGTGGCAGGCTCAAACCCAGCACCTCAACCAATGGCTGATACCAAATGAGAGACTCCCCCCTGGGCACACAGAGGACTGGGCGACTTGGAAGGTGCTGAACAGACTGCACTCTGGCACCACGAGATGCAGAGCCAACCTTCAGAAATGGGGCCACAAAGTGGAATCCTCGACATGCGAGTGTGGAGAGGAGCAAACCACTGACCACCTGCTGCAATGCAACCTGAGCCCTGCCACATGCACCATGGAGGACCTTCTTGCAGCAACACCAGAAGCACTCCAAGTGGCCAGATACTGGTCAAAGGACATTTAATCAACTACCAAACTCACAAATTTTGTATTTTGTCTTTTTGTTTGTTGTTTGCTTTGTTCTGTTAGAAATGTAATATAACTGACTGGTTGCTGATGACTCGAAAAATAAATGTCACTGTGCCAATGTATGGTGCCCTCCAAACTAGCATCATTATCATTATCAATATTATCATTATTATTATTATTATCATTATTATCATTATCATTATTATTATTATTATTATTATTATTATTATTATTATTATTATTATTATTATTATTATTATTATTATTATTATTATGCCCTCACCTGGGCAGAGCCAATTGGAACAGCAATGCTTCTCGACACCACTAGGTGGCTCTGCTTTGCTCAAACGCAGGGCGGCGGCCGTCTCAAATCTTGAACTCATCATTCCAGAAGCAAGTACCACTCTCTTAGGTGACTAAACTTCTGCCTGACTGTCACCACTCTTCCCTCCTCTTGTTGAATAGAAATGCCGCCTTGAAGAACCCGTTTCGTGCCCTAGCGAAGCCAGGATTGAAAGATGAAAAGATTTAAGTGGAAGCCGGACGCTCGGGAAAGCTTGAAATCCGAAGCGGGGAGACAGGCAGCGGCATAGACAGAAGAGGGGTCCTTGTTGGCGTCGTGGGAAACGCCTGGGTCCTCCTGGCGGGGCCTGGGCGGATGAGGTCACTCTTTGTGGTGGCTGCCGTTGGCAAGATGGCGCCGGTGTTGGCGGAGAAGAAGCTTCTCGGGCCGGAGGGGCCCGTGGCTGCCGACTTCCCCAGCGAGGAGGAGGAAGGCCAGAGCCTCTGGTGAGCAGGAGCAGCCACCGCCCCAGCCCTCCAGCCTGCCTTCCTGCCCTGGGCGAGGAGCTGTGGGAGGGCGGCCCGCATCTTGTGGCTCTGGAGGGGAAGCCGGGAGGCCTCGGAGGGCCTGGGAGGCGCTTTGGGCGGGGCTGAAGAGCACCACCACCACCACCCCTGGCAGGACGCCTTTGGGGAGGGAATAGGCCGGCATTCCCGGCCTTGGGCGAGGCTCTGCTTCTGCCTTTGCCCTTCTGCTTGTGTCCAGCAGTCGCACCTCTTCCCTCTATAATTGGCCTTCCCCTCTCCTCCTCCTGATAGGGACAGAGACCCTTCAGAAACAAAGCTAATGACCTGGGGCCCTTCCACACAGACCTATATCCCAGAATATCTGAGTGATTTAGATAACCCACTTCAAAGCAGATAGAATCCTAGAGATGGAAGAGACCTCCTGGGCCATCCAGTCCAACCCCATGCCAAGAAGCAGGAATATTGCATTCAAATCACCCCTGACAGATGGCCATTCAGCCTCTGTTTAAAAGCTTCCAAAGAAGGAGCCTCCACCACACTCCAGGGCAGAGAGTTCCACTGCTGAACGGCTCTCACAGTCAGGAAGTTCTTCCTCATGTTCAGATGGAAGAGAGTTCCACTGCTGAACAGCTCTCAAGATCCCGGACGAGGCCCCCAAAATGAAGGGAACTATTTTAATTGGCAAATATGGTGACTCTAAAAAGACAATCAGTCTCTATGAGGTATGAAGCAAAAATTCTTTTATTGCGAGCGTGGCCGTACAAGGACAGAACCAGCCGGACAATCAGATGTCTTTCAAAAGGCTGCCTGTGCCATTTGATCTTTCCAATTCATTCTTTATACCCTTTTTCTGATGTGTCATGAAACAGATCCACCTTCTTCCAAACATCCTTTCAAAAACATGTTCTTTCACCTCCTTCCACTTGTTGTTGTGTTGTTGTTCATTCGTTCAGTCGTCTCCGACTCTTCGTGACCTCATGGACCAGCCCACGCCAGAGCTCCCTGTCGGTCGTCACCACTCCCAGCTCCTTCAAGGTCAATCCAGTCACTTCAAGGATGCCATCCATCCATCTTGCCCTTGGTCGGCCCCTCTTCCTTTTGCCTTCCACTTCCCCAGCATAATTGTCTTCTCTAGGCTTTGCTGTCTCCTCATGATGTGGCCAAAGTACTTCAACTTTGTCTCTAGTATCCTTCCCTCCAGTGAGCAGTCGGGCTTTATTTCCTGGAGGATGGACTGGTTGGATCTTCTCGCAGTCCAAGGCACTCTCAGAACTTTCCTCCAACACCACCGTTCAAAAGCATCTCTTCCTTCGCTCAGCCTTCCCTAAGGTCCAGCTCTCACATCCGTAGGTTACTACAGGGAATACCATGGCTTTGACTATGTGGATCAAAGCCACTTGACGCCTACAAAAACTGATAACCTTTCACAAACTTAGAGCCTCTCTCATACATGTTATGACTTCAAATTCTTGGATGTCAGCCTGTGGTAAGTCCTTCAGCTTGCATCCTGTTCCTTCCTGTGCTTTCCAAAACTCAGTCTCTCCTTGCCCTTGCTCCTTTCTATGGCAAAGGACAAGGCTCTTCCTTAGGCTTGCATTCTTAGCATTTCCGACATCTCTTTTCACCTAATAAGCTCAATTCACCCCTTCACTTATAGTTTGAAGCCATTGTTCCGCGTCCTACTCTCCAGGGAAGCAGAAAACAAGCTTGCTTCCTCCTTCCTGTGATCTTCACATATTTATACATGGCTATCATATCTCCTCTCAGCCTTCTCTTCTTCAGGCTAAACATGCCCAGCTCCTTTAAGCCGCTCCTCATAGGGCTTGTTCTCCAGACCCTGATCATTTTAGTCGCCCTCCTCTGGACACATTCCAGCTTGTCAATATCTCTCTTGAATTGTGGTGCCCAGAATTGGACACAATATTCCAGGTGTGGTCTAACAAAGGCAAAATAGAGGGGTAGCATGACTTCTCTAGATCTAGACACTATGCTCCTATTGATGCAGGCCAAAATCCCATTGGCTTTTTTTGCCACCACATCACATTGTTGACTCATGTTTAACTTGTTGTCCACGAGGACTCCAAGATCTTTTGTGGGATTATCTGCCTTGATATTCTGGGATATAGGGCTGTGTGAAAGGGCCCCTGGATTATCTGGCAGTGTAGAAGGGGCCTCAGATAACTCAGTTCAAAACAGATCTTGTGGATTATCTGCCTTGATAATCTGGGTTATATGGCCAGCAGAAGATTTGTACAGCATCGCTAAAGCACTGAGGGCCCTTCCACACAGCCCTATATCCCAGAATATCATGGCAGAAAATCCCACAATACCTTCTTATAGGGCTGTGTAGAAGGGCCCCCAGATGAAGATTTAGTGGGTGTGCTTATCACGTTTGCACATGGCACCTAATTGGGAGGGAAGCTAATACTCCAGAGGACAGCATCAGAATTCAAAACAACCTTAACAGATTAGAGAGCTGATAGGCCAAAACTAACAAAATAAATCTTAACAAGGACCAATGTAAGATGCTACACTTAGACAGAAAAAATTAAATGCAAAAATACAGAATGAGTGTTGCCTGGCTCAACAACAGTCCATGTGAGAAAGATCTTGGAGTCTTCTTGGACAACAACTTGAACATGAGCCAACAGTGTGATGCAGCAGCTAATAAGCCAATGGGGTTTTGGGCTGCATCAAAAGGGGTATAGTGTCTAGATCAGTCATGGGCAAACTTTATTTGCCTTGGGGCCACATAGTGGGCCGGGGAGGGAGGGGGGCTGTTTGCTTGCTGGGTGGGGCAGGCCACAAGGAGTAACGCCCAGGAGAGGGTGGGCCAGGAGGGGGCAGGACAGGGCCTGGGTCATCCTCTGGTTGTCCTCCTAGCATAAGGATGGGGATGCTTGCCCCATCCTTATGCTGGGAGGAAGGAGGGACATGTGGCGACTGCCCCGATCCTCCTCCCCCATATAAATATATGAAATGATGTCATAAGGAAGAGGGTGCAGGCTTGAACTAGGTCTCTGAGCAATGGGTTCCACCTGAACATTAGGAGAACTTCCTGACCATATGAGCTATTCAGCAGTGGAACTCTCTTTCTTGAAGTGTTGTGGAAGCTCCTTCTTTGGAAACTTTTAAACAGAGATTGGATGGCCATCTGTCAGGGATACTTTGATTGTACTTTTCCTGCATGGCGGGTTTGGATTATGTAGACCATGTGGTCTCTTCCAATCTGTTATTCTATGAAAAGAGACCCCCCCCCCCCAGGCCAAGTCTATTTCCCCCATCTCTGATGTTCAAAGGCCCAATTTGGAGATAGTAGCCACCACTGTTATTTGGGGGGGGGGGAAGGAGTAAAAAATCACAAGACTAGGCTTTCTCATACACATCAGTAGGAAATCAATACTGTCAGCATGAATGCAGCAGAAACTTAATCTACCCATGCAGGTCTAATGGCAGGAGAGGTTGGGCTGACTCTTCAGATTTCCCTGTGATGGTTGTTTGGGAAAGGAGAATTTCATGACACATTTAGGTCCCATCTACACTCACACTCCCATTATAATGCAGAATGAACTGCATTATACAGTCAGTGTAGACTCCTATAATCCAGTTTAATTGCATTGAATTGTATTATATGTCCCTTTCAGTGCTGGAGTATTTTATTTCTAGTGTTATTTCCTGCATTGGATATTTCTAAAAGCAGATTAGAGTAAACCGCCTTGAGTCCCCCCAGGCGTGAGAAAGGCGGTATATAAATACAGTAAATAAATAATAATAAATAGAGTATTAGATTACCTCTTATGATCATTTCACTATATTATTCCTGATAAACCTTTGAGGAAGGGGTATATACGATAATTGTATATCAGAAGGGTTATTTGTAGTATTGGATTATCTATGTGCAACCTTCAGCATGGTTAACAAAACCCATTGTGTTAAACATTTTGGTCTTTAAAATGGCTTTTCAGCTTCTTTTCTGTGACTTAGGAAGAGAAGAAATCAGTGGAATTGAAGTGAGACTAAAGGAGAGTAATCTTAATGAGTTTTTAGTTGAGAAGGGATTTTAATACCTGTTAGTCATGACCATCTATGCTGCCATTATAGTGGAGAGACTGACATTGCTGGAGGTAAACCATGATAAACATCTCCTTCAGCATTGCACTAGTGTCATATTTTTATAGCTATATTTAATAAGCTGTGAAAGCAGAGGATTTTTGCTTCCTGATCATTCACGTAAATATTTAAACAAAACACTTGTCATGACAAAGCAGTAGACAAATGGGCTTAACTAGTGGTTCACAAACTTTGGTCCTCCACATGTTTCAGACTTCAGCTCCCAGAATTCCCAACTGTTCAACATGCTGGCTAATGAGTCTGGGAGCTGAAGTGTTCACCAGTGTTCAACTATGGAACTAAACATTTGAGCAAAGTAATGCTGTCTGTCTCAATCTTTGATGATCAGCAATGGGAACAGGGACCTCACCCCAGCCACAAGCAGCAGAATTTCCTTAGAGGTCAGGTCTCCAAAATCCTTTTTCAACTCAGGGTAACTAAAGTGCTGCATAGGCAAGAACTCTTTTTGAATATTCCCAACAGATGCATAGCAGTTCTTCCCAGTGGCAGTCTTTCAGTATTGTAGCCCCTCCCCCCAAAAGATAGCTAGCCAAAAGTGATGAATGATTTCAAACCAAGAGAGTCAAACATTGTTTTAAAAACAGTTTCCAATATGGTATTTTTTTAAACAGATGTACACATTTATTGACCACAGTAACTAGGAAAACATTTCTTTGCATTGTGTTCATTTTGCCTACAGAATGCCTGCTTGGGGATTGGTATGAGGCTGTATGACAAGATGGCTAATAGGTACAGGAGTTGAAGTCGTAAAGCACTGGCTGAAATGAATGAATTTGTTTAGCCCAATATGCATTCCTGAAAGCCGGGACATGTGTGGCCAGGTGACATCAGATGTGGTCAAGATGGCAAACATTAGTAAAAAGGAAGAATCATAGGTCAGGAGAGGCCATAGCAGTTGAGCCTGAGGCCCTTTCCACACAGCTGAATAAAATCCCACACTATCTGCCTTCAACTGGGATGTATGGCAGTGTGGACTCAGATAACTCAGTTCAAAGCAGATATTGTAGGTTGTTCTGCCTTGATATTCTGGAATGTAGGGCTGTGTGGAAGGGCCCTATGCCTCTCAAGAAGACCAAGAATCTGCTCCCTTCCCTCTCTCTATCTCCCCCTTCATCCACTGTGTTAATTGAATGCAAATTTTCTCTGTGCTTTGGACACAGTCCACAGCAGTTGAAATAAGTACAGAACAAAAGAGGAAAGTGGGAGGAGGAGACAGAAAGGCAGCTGAAAAAGTGGGATGACAGAGGATTAATTGGGACTGTCCTTAACCAGTTGGTATAGTTGGAGGGTATATTTGTGCCTGCAGGGATACTAAGCAAGATCCCTTGCTTGAAGATGAAGCACTTATAGCTTCCCAGAAAAAAAACAACTGACAGTCATCTCTCCACATTTGTGAATCCGATTATTCACATACTTAATTGAACTGGATTATATGGCAGTGTGTACTCGGATAACCCAGTTCAAAGTAGATATTGTGGGATTTTCTGCCTTGATATTTTGGGTTATATGGCTGTGTGGAGGGCCCCTAACATTCCAGTACAAGATCCAGGGCCTTTCCAGACAGCTATATAACCCAGAATATCAAGGGAGAAAAATCCCACAATATCTGCTTTGAAATGGATTATCTGTGTCCACACTGCCATATATACCACTTCAAAGCAGAAAATGTGGGGTTTTATTCAGCTGTGTGGAAGGGGCATTAGTCATTTCCTGTCCAGTAGAAGGTTCATCATAATACAGTTCGTAACATTTGTGTTCATATGTCTAATGTTTGATCACAATGTCAACTCCCCCATCTTAGTTTGCACTCTGACAGTAAAAATAACCTGTAATTCATTCAGTTTTGTTTTCCTGGTAAATCATGTTCCTGAGAAAAAACAAACAAAAAACAATTGTAATGAAAACATGGCCAGAAATAAAACATCCTTGGTATTTATTTACTCATCCAAGAAAAAGGTGCCCTGTCAAGGTTCTGCTTTTCTGCACACCATTTCAGTCATTCTTCTCTTTACCTCTCACAATTGTTTCTTTCACCTGGTTTGTGGCATTGTTCAGGCCCCTTCCACACATTATATGCTTTGAACTGGAATATATGGCAGTGTGGACTCAGATAACCCAGGACAAAGCGGATATTATGGGATTTTCTGCCTTGGTATTCTGGGTTTATAGGGCTTTGTGGAAAGGCCCTCTGACAGACTAATATGGGATCTTTTTTGTGTCCACAGGTTCTCAATATTGAGTGAAGTTTCCACCAGGTCCAGATCTAAATTACCCTCTGGTAAAAATATTCTTGTCTTTGGTAAGTTCCAGTGAATAGCAATGGAGAGCTTTTGATAGTTGCAGGAATACTGAAATTTAATTTTAAGTATGCTTGGTTAGAAAAGGAAGTAATTTAATTTTTTTTAAAATCTGTTTAGAGGCACTTTTGGGTTATATGGCTGTGTCCAAGGTTATTTTGAACTTGTATCTTCTTTGCTAACAGTATTTTAAACCTAATGCATTGACATAAGCCTTATAGTGAGATGTTTTGGTTTTTGTTGTTGTTTTGCAAAAATCACAACTGCAACTGTAGCTCTTTGTGGAATTACTGGATCAAATAAGTATTTTACTCTGCAGTTTACTAATATTTTAAACTGTGTTGTCGAAGGCTTTCATGGCTGGAATCACTGGGTTGTTGTAGGTTTTTTTGGGTTATATGGCCATGTTCTAGAGGCATTCCCTCCTAGGAGAGAATGCCTTTAGAACATGGCCATATAGCCAGAAAAAAATTACACCAACCCATTTTAAACTGTGTTTGGGTGGAGCTACTGATTCATTTTGAAGTCACAACAAATAAGATACTTTGTATATACCCACAAAATGTCTGTGAAAAGGCATGACTGTTTTTTTCCGTACAAAGTGGCCTTGTTCATGTTTCTTTTCTGCTCTGCAAACTTATTGGCAGGTGATGATGGCTCAGGTAAAACGACACTAATGACTAAAATACAGGGAACGGAACATGGCAAGAAAGGAAGAGGACTTGAGTACCTGTACCTAAACATCCATGATGAAGATAGAGATGGTAAAGATTTTGCTTTTTCTGCATCCCTGTTGCTTAAAATAGAAGGCTGGTTTCGTCTCACAGACACAGTTGGGTTGATATATCTCTTTATATCCTCATCCATGGACTCAGATGTTTGATGGAGCTTAGGCACATGTAAACTTATATAGGTTTGTAATTTTATTTGCATCCATTTGTTTGCATATCTTGAAAAGTAAATGGAGCTTCTAAAAGGGAAAATATAAGAATATCCTGGATTTTCCCATACTCTTTGTTACATTACTTTCTAAGAATTAAATGCATTTGGTTTGTTTACGTTGAGTACCTTATCATTATGGATTTTTTTGATGCTCACTCAGAATTAGATAATTTATTTTTCACTGTACTCTGTATGCGTGTGGTTTTCCCCTGAGATCCCTTTCTGTAGCCCAGCGTTGTGGCAGAACATGCATTCAGATTTAGAAGGGGTGGTTGGGAAATCTTATCACATGGGGCTAGAGTTGTGAGTTGTATAAGACTAGTAGGCCTACCACTTACGTTTGAATAAAGAAAGTCCTATTTGTTTCAGGAAGGTTAGGCCAGATATGGGGAATTTTGCTCCTGTACATGTTTTGGCCTGTACTTCCATCATGGCTCGTGATGAGCAATTGGTTAAATTATAGTTTAAATATCTGGGGAGCCAAAGGTTCTTCACCCTTGGTTTTGGGGCTTATTTTCAGTTGTGTCCTAATCTCTGTATGAATAATCAGTTTAAACTGTTAGAAAATAGTGCATTTAACAGATATGTAAGGAACTGTGGGTTGTTGGATATGTATTAATAATCTTCTGCATTTCAGATCAGGCGCGCTGTAATGTCTGGATACTTGATGGGGACTTGTACCATAAAGGCCTCTTAAAGTTTGCTGTTTCAGCAGAATCATTACAAGAGACTCTTGTAATATTTGTAGCTGATATGTCTAGACCTTGGACTATTATGGAATCGTTACAGAAATGGGCAAGCGTCTTGCGTGAACATATTGATAAGTTGAAAATTCCTCCGGAAGAGATGAGAGACATGGAACAGCAATGTAAGTAATCTGAGATTTAATATGATGTTGTTTATTCGTTCAGTTGCTTCCAACTCTTCGTGACCTCATGGACCAGCCCACTCCAGAGCTTTTTGTCTGCCGTCACCACCCTCAGGTCCTTCAAAGTCAAGCCAGTCACTTCAAGGATACGACCCATCCATCTTGCTCTTGGTTGGCCCCTCTTCCTTTTTCCTTCCATTTTCCCAAGCATCATTGTCTTCTCTAAGCTTTCCTGTCTTCTCATGATGTGGCTAAAGTACTTCATCTTTCCCTCTAATATCCTTCCCTCCAATGAGCAGCCGGGCTTTATTTCCTGAAGTACAGACTGGTTGGATCTTCTTGCGGTCCAAGGCACTCTCAGAATTTTCCTCCAACATGACAGTTCAAAAGCATCTATCTTAATATGATACTTATTTTCATAGAATCACAGAGTTGGAAGAGACCTCATGGGCCATCCAGTCCAACCCCCTGCCAAGAAGCAGGAATATTGCATTCAAATCACCCCTGACAGATGGCCATCCAGCCTCTGTTTAAAAGCTTCCAAAGAAGGAGCCTCCACCACACTCCCTCCGGGGCAGAGAGTTCCACCTATGGACTCACCAGAACACTGACCTTGGAAGACCATCCTACTCTGACATTGGGGGATCGCCTAAGTTCAAAGCAAATAATGTGGAATTCTATTCAGCTATGTGGAAGGGCCTGCAGATCGATCGATCTTTCTTTCTGTCTTTCTTTAATTTCATTTATAGCCAACCTTTGTGGGAGTTTGCAGACGACACCAAATTGGGAGGGATAGCCAATAGTCCAGAGGACAGGAGCAGAATTCAAAACGATCTTGACAGATTAGAGAGATGGGCCAAAACTAACAAAATGAAGTTCAACAGGGACAAATGAAAGATACTCCACTTAGGCAGAAAAAATGAAATGCAAAATACAGAATGGGGGACGCCCGGCTCGAGAGCAGTACATGTGAAAAAGATCTTGGAGTCCTCGTGGACAACAAGTTAAACATGAGCCAACAATGTGATGCGGCGGCAAAAAAAGCCAATGGGATTTTGGCCTTCATCAATAGGAGTATAGTGTCTAGATCTAGGGAAGTCATGCTACCCCTCTATTCTGCTTGGTTAGACCACACCTGGAATATTGTGTCCAATTCTGGGCACCACAATTCAAGAGAGATATTGACAAGCTGGAATGGGTCCAGAGGAGGGCGACTAAAATGATAAAAGGTCTGGAGAACAAGCCCTATGAGGAGCGGCTTAAGGAGCTGGGCATGTTTAGCCTGAAGAAGAGAAGGCTGAGAGGAGATATGATAGCCATGTATAAATATGTGAGAGGAAGCCACAGGGAGGAGGGAGCAAGCTTGTTTTCTGCTTCCTTGGAGACTAGGATGCCGAACAATGGCTTCAAACTACAAGAGAGGAGATTCCATCTGAACATGAGGAAGAACTTCCTGACTGTGAGAGCCGTTCAGCAGTGGAACTCTCTGCCCCGGAGTGTGGTGGAGGCTCCTTCTTTGGAAGCTTTTAAACAGAGGCTGGATGGCCATCTGTCAGGGGTGATTTGAATGCAATATTCCTGCTTCTTGGCAGGGGTTTGGACTAGATGGCCCATGAGGTCTCTTCCAACTCTTTGATTCTATGATTCTACCCTAAGGACAAAGCGTTCCACACAACAATATCACCTGCTTGATTTTGTTGTTTTTGATGGAGCATAGCGCTTAGACAGCCATTGCTCCATGCTCTATCATTGTGTATTTGACCCCAATGTGTTCTTTATTATATACTAGCTTGGGGACCCGGCGCTGCCTGGGTTATTAGAGAAAGTGGGTAATGGCGGTTCTGTATGCCTGGGTTATTTGAGAAAGGATAGGGCCGGCAACCTGGCAATCAGAGTTGGAGTCCTTAGACCCGCCCTTTTTCCCAGGGTTTCGGAGTCAAGGGAGGACCTTTGGTTAGTTTCACCTTCTTTTTTTTTCTTTTTTTTTTTTTTTTGGAGCCTAACAGCAGGACGTGTGGGTTTCTCTATCCCATCTGCAAAAAGGCATTACTACTCACAGCTCCTCTGGGGGAGTAAAGGGATAGTTCCATGGCCTTTGCCGAGACAACAGGACAGTTCCTATGGTCTTCGTGGAGCAAATCTAAAGGACACCTTGCAGTTTGGCAGATTTACAGAAACCTTGTCTGGTAGGAGGAGGAGATTCCATCTGAACATGAGGAAGAACTTCCTGACTCTGAGAGCCGTTCAGCAGTGGAACTCTCTGCCCCGGAGTGTGGTGGAGGCTCCTTCTTTGGAAGCTTTTAAACAGAGGCTGGATGGCCATCTGTCAGGGGTGATTTGAATGCAATATTCCTGCTTCTTGGCAGGGGGTTGGACTGGATGGCCCATGAGGTCTCTTCCAACCCTTTGATTCTATGATTCTATGAGGATTTATAGGAAAGTGCAGTAAACAAGCACACAGCCATATATTCTAGTTCAAAGCAAATAATGTGTACAAAGTTGACTTGTTTTACTGAATCCCAGAACCAAGCACAATGTAAACACACTCACTGTGAAACCAAGAAATATCTTGCAGTGTTGGATTTCCTGTAACTTTGTGGCCTGCACCATCATTGTCAAGGATGTAGTATTAAAAGTTTATAGGAACTGAAGCACCACCTGTGCTGTTTGATATTCTTCGATATGGAAGGTCTGAGACGTGTATGATTGGTAGTTGCCTTCAGAACATAATGATTTATACTCTAACGCAGGGAGTCTATCAGGGTTGTCATGAAGCTGCCTATTCATAACTTCTGTATGGTGGGAATGTTACTAAATAAAGGATACTCAAAGACAGGAGAGATCTACCTGGACATTCTGAGCTTAAGAGTTATTTATATACTAATGCAGGGGGATAAATATATTTGGAGCTTTTTTATGATGGGACTGTTGTTAAATGAGTCACAAAGACAGGCGAGTTTGAGGTCTAACTGCATATTTCAATCATAAGAGTACGATGTCTGCATGACCTTCTGTTGAATCTATATATATAAAAATGCTCTGTGCATAATGAGTGCCTTAAAAACAAAAGAACCAATGAATGAAATCACACAAAATTTGGCAACAAAACATCTCACAACACAAGAAGTGACCATCACTCAAAAATTATGATTTTGTCATTTGGAAGTTGTAGTTGCTGGGATTTATAGTTCACCTACAATCAAAGAACATTCTGGACTCCACCAATGATGGAACTGAACCAAACTTGGCACACAGGATTCCCATGACCAACAGAAAATACTGGAAGGGTTTGGTGGGCATTGACCTTGAGTTTGGGAGTTGTAGTTCACCTACATCCAGAGAGCACTGTGGACTCAAACAATGATGGATCTGGACCAAACTTAGCACAAGCACTCAATACGCCCAAATATGAACACAGATGGAGTTTGGGGAAAATAGACCTTGACAGTTGGGAGTTGTAGTCACTGGGATTCACAGTTCACCTACAATCAAAGAGCATTCTGAACCCCACGAACAACAGAATCGGGGCAAACTTCCCACACAGAACCCCCATGACCAACAGAAAATATTTAAGGCCATCCAATCCAACTCGTTTAATCAGGGCAAGAAAATGTAATCATAGCCCTCCTGACAAAGAGCCATCCAGCCATAGATATAGATAGGTGTATATGATTCACACACATACACAAATATAGTATCATAGATTTGAAAGGGACCCCTGAAGAAGGACAATTATATGTTGCATGTTCCAGGGTGGGCAAACCAGACAATCTCCACATCAACACTGACAAAGGAACAGCAAGAAATACTGTTTACCCACAAGCATAAAGAAATTACATATATTAGAAACCAAGACTTTCTCATTACTTTATTTTCCATATTAACAGACTGGGCCACAGCAATGCGTGGCAGGGGACAACTAGTTTATTATTAAAATTTGGAAAATAGCCTTTTAAATTGCTGTCATGTCCTTAAAAAACACTACATTTCAGACATTCTCTTTTGGTACTTCCTTCATTGCCAAGAAATATAATTGACATAATCTCTCCTGTTAACTGCACACATGTCTAGCTTTGACCTTACAATCTGCATATTTTAAAGCGGTGCAGCAAAAAGCTTACTTCCAAACTTGTATCATGTGGCTTTTTGAAACAAATAGTCTGAAATTCATTGGATAAAAGGATTCCTTTCTTCTATCACGAGGGATGTTTTTGATGGGAATGACATCATTTTGTATTAGCAAAAGCAATGCCTGCTTTTGGAATTAAGCAGTGATGTTATGTCATTCCTGGGTTGGAGCACTTCATGCAGAAGTAGTGGCAATCATGAAATGGAATGAAAGCTGTCAAACAAACTGTTGAACACTGCAGGAGGTCAACCATAGCCAGTTTTGTGGTTTTTCCTCTTCTTTGGACATGGAAGGATTTGTTGTACCAGTTGAAGCAGCAGCTTGGGCAGCACGAGGACAATTCACCCTAAGGGGAAAGTTTTGGCCTCTTATACCACAGTTGTCTACAACAGGCTCTTGTTCACTGTAACATCTCTTTAAATGTCAGAATAGCACAGCAGTTTAGATATGGAGCAATCCGGCCTCTTATGAATATTTTGCTGTGTTTCCTTGGCTATTGACAAAGAAAGGAGTGCAGAATGCAGTTATCTACATTACTTACTTACTTAGGCGATCCCTCGTTGGACGAGTAAGATGGTCTTCCTTGATGAGTATTTTTGTGGGTTTGTAGGTGGCTGTGGACCCCTATTCTTGACACGCATCTTCTCCCACAGTGAAAGCATTGGTTTCCAGGTGGAAGGCGGTCCCGGTCGGGGTTGGCTTGACGCGCTTTCCTCCTGGCACGTTTCTGTCTTTCACCCTCCAATCGTGCCTCCTTGAATTCTGCAGCACTGCTGGTCACAGCTGACCTCCAGCTGGAGCGGTCAAGGGCCAGGGCTTCCCAGTTCTCAGTGTCTATGCCAGAGTTTTTAAGGTTAGCTTTGAGGCCATCTTTAAATCTCTTTTCCTGTTCACCAATATTCCGTTTTCCGTTCTTAAGTTCAGAGTAGAGGAACTGCTTTGGGAGACGGTGGTCAGGCATCTGGACAACGTGGCCGGCCCAGCGGAGTTGATGGCAAAGGACCATCACTTCAATGCTGGTGGTCTTTGCTTCTTCCAGCACGCTGACGTTTGTCCGCTTGTCTTCCCAAGATATTTGCAGGATTTTCCGGAGGCAGCGCTGATGGAATCGTTCCAGGAGTTGCATGTGACGTCTGGAGTCAGTCCACGTTTCGCAGGCATAGAGCAGGGTTGGGAGGACAATAGCTTTATAGATAAGCACCTTGGTATCCCTACGGATGTCCCGGAGTGATCTACATACATAGAGAAGGGCATATAAAATTGACTTATTCTGTGCAGATCAACCCAACTTCTTTCCTTCTGGTAAGGAAGACAGTCTTGGTTTGCCTGTACCATTGCCTGCCTCCTTCACTAGAACAAGTTGATATGAAGGAATAGAAAGCCAACTGGCTAACAAAATGAAGTTCAACAGTGACAAATGCAAGATACTCCACTTAGGCATAAACAATGAAATGGTACTTTTGTAAAGTGTGCAAGTTTTGATAATAACTGGATAGAATTAAGCAGCCTTCAGTGATTGGTTACGCTAAAATACATCTAAATATATTGCAGTGATCAAAACCTGTTAGTACTGTCTGCCTGTATTAGTGCAAGTGAGATACACTTTAACCAACTTTTCATGTTGCACCCAATACTCCGAGGACTGTCCTGGATTATGGTAAATTGCCAGCGAACAATTCTTGCTGCTTATAGATAGGGTGGATAGAAGATAGATCTGTATCTCCTGGTAGATCTCTGATGGGGCAGGAAACACTTGGCTGATTTCTTGTGATGCAGGGAACATGCCATACATCATTCTTGTTAATGGCTTTATCTGTTCTCTCCTGTCTTTGGCTTCTTATGGATTACAGAAGGTAAAGCAGGAGCTGCAGTTACAGAAGCCATCTTGAATTTGGCTTGTGGAGCCTATGGGAGAAGTCTCAAGGCTGCCACTTAGATACTGCACTTAATACAAAACCATATTCATAGCTCCATATAAAGTAAACTCTCTGAACACTGCCACTTAGATACTGTAGTTAATACAAAATACAGTGTTGCTGTATTGACATTTCAAATCACAATAAATAGATTTTGAATAAGGCATCAGAACACCTTAAAGAATGTGTTATTTTGAAACGTTTTTTAAGACTTCGAAAATAAATCTGTCAGGCAAAACAAAGCCATTATAAAACACTGATGGTCTATTCAATCTTTATCATGGCAGCTTGTTTTGTTATTGTTTTGAATCTCACGTTCTGCTTTGAGTTTGTTTTGTTTGTTTAATCTCAGAGATCACACTTTGTTATAAAACAAAAGCATTTAATATATGTTATAAATATTTTTCCTAGTTGTGAAGGCTTTCCAAGAATATATAGAACCTGAAGAAGGTTATCAGGGATCACCACAAAGAAGAGGCCCATCAGGACAGGATGATGAGAATGTTACTTTACCACTTGGCGATAACGTGCTGACCCACAACCTTGGGATTCCTGTGATAGTTGTTTGCACAAAGGTGAGCTCGAGCTCCAGCTCACTGGTGATATGTGGTATTTATTTCAATTGTACACAACATTGTGATTTGAAGGCAAAACTTCCATGTTTACATGGGAGGGCTCTTCATCTGAATGGAATGGTTTCTATTTTTAGTCAGAAAATGGAAGGGAGCAGCCATTTCAATTTGTTGAACTTTCATCTACTTGGGAAGAAGTTCTTGCCGCTTTTAAAAATCAGTTAAGGTTTTTTATGTTTCTGTATTTAATCTTCTTTTCCAATATAAGTTTGAAACTAGATTTACTCAGTCTTTAAGAAAGCCAATGGAAACAGGGTATAGGTTACAGCTTGTGTTTTATGTGGTTACACTCCCTCTGAAGATGTAGGTTCACAGCGTGGGACTGTTTCCTGGATTTATCATTGAACCTGGAACTCCAGGTCTTGTGGTGGCCAGGGGAGCTTTTTCGCAATTAAAACTTGTGTGCCAGTTGCATCCCTACCTTGGGAAGTCAGACTTGGCCATGGTGGTACATGCTCTTGTTACATCGCGAATAGACTACTGCAACAAGCTCTATGTGGGGTTGCCTTTGAAGACTGTTCGGAAGGTTCAATAGGTCCAATGGGCGACAACCAGATTGCTCACCAGAGCAGGGCACGGGGATCATACAACCCTCCTGTTACGCCAGCTCCACTGGCTGCCAGTCTGCTACCGAGTACAATTCAAAGTGCTGGCTTTAGTCTATAAAGTCCTAACTGGTTCCGGCCCAGCTTAGCTATCTGAACATATCTCCTCCTATGATCCACCTCGGAGATTAAGATCTTCTGGGGAGGCCCTGCTCTTGGTCCCACCGCCTTCACAATCGTGACTGGTGGGGATGAGAGACAGAGCCTTCTCAGTGGTGGTCCCTCAGCTATCGAACTCCCTCCCTAGTGAAATTAGAGTAGCCCCCTCTCTCTTGACCTTCAGGAAGAAAGTAAAAACGTGGTTATGTGGCTGGGCTTTTAGATAGCAAGTTTTTTTTAGTGTAATAAGAGAATAAGGAACAGTGAATGAACCAATGGAACAGCTTTGAATTATGATGCTGGTTGGTGTGATTTTAATAACTAATTTTAAATTGTGTTGTTTTAATGTAAATGTTTATTGTAGTGTATGTTTATGTTTTGGCATCAAATTACTGCCTAATTTGTAATGCCACTCTGAGTTCCCTTTGGCGTAGAGAAGGACGGGATATAAATTAAATAAAGAAATAGTAAGAGATTATAGCTATGAGGCTTGTTGATAGGTCAGCCCTGGTTAGTACGTATTTATTTATTTATTTATTTGACTTGTATACCACTACTCCCAATTTGGCTCGGAGCGGTTTACAGCCTTAGTTAGCAGTCTGGCTGCTCCTCTTTGAACTAACTGAAGTTTCTGAGCACTTTTCCCAGGCAGCCCCACATAGAGCGCATTACAGTAGTCCAACCAGGATCTAACCAAGGCATGTATCACAGATCCTACTTCTGCAGGAAATGGGCTCCTTTGGTGCACTAGCTTTAACTGTGTAAAAGTACTCCTGGTCACTGCTGATGCCTGGGCCTCCAGATTCAGAGCAGGATCCAGGAGTACCTCTAAACTGCGGACCTGCATTTTCAAGGGGAGTGTGACCCCATCTAATGAAAGCTGAATCCCTATTCCCAGTTCGGATTGACAGGGAGCACTTTTGTCTTGTCTGGATATAGCTTCAATTTGTTTGAATCAGTAGCTTTGTTGTGACAGATGAAAATGTAACATCAGAAACAAAGCACCATAATACTTTGTAGTATGTAATATACCGCATATTCTGGTGTACAAGACTACTTTTTAACCCAAGAAAATCTTCTCAAAAGTCAGGGGTCGTCTTATACGCGGGAGTAGTCTTATAGAGCGGGTGCTGAAACTTCCAATCGGATTGGAGAATCTGTGGTTGCCGCATATATGGTGGGGGAAGCTCAAAAATGACAATGGCCGTGTCCCTGCCGTATGCAGTGACTGTATGAAAGCATTAAGGACGTTGCTGTACAAGTATGGTAGAAGAAAATCCATTCATCAGGATTCGTGGACTTAATGCGGTCCCGATGGTGAGGTGAAGGGGCGCCACACCTGGAAGGTGTAAGTGAAGGATGGAGCAAGCTGCAGGCTTCTGGGGCGCCCGGGATATGGTAAAAAGAGATAAAGTGGCTCTGGGCCCAGACAAACGCACCTCTTTTACCTGTCTGGCCCGCCCTTGTATCCTATTACCGTACCTCCTCCTCTGCCTCTCAGATCTCTCTCCTGAAGACTGCAGTGAAGCGGTGCAGGTGCGAGATCTGAGAGGCAGAGGAGGTGGTACAGTAATACGAAAATGACCATATTGAAATCAAATCTGATGCTTTTTACATTTTTATTTGGTGTGCGTTGGAAGAGGGGTAGTCTTATACGGCGAATATATCCCAAACTCTATTTTAACTGGAAAAGTTGGGGTCGTCTTCTACGCCCAGTCGTCTTATATGCCGGAATATACGGTATATAGATTTCAGATTCATGCTTTTCTGATGTTTTAAGAAAGATGATTCACCTGTCAGACTTTGGCAATGATCTCTTATTAAATTTGCTTTGAACATTGATTTAGGTAAAAGCATACCTGTTTTGCACATATCTTCAACTCTAAGGTTGCTCTTTATCTTTCGTTTTCAGTGTGATGCAGTAGGTATATTAGAAAAAGAACATGACTACAGAGAAGAACACTTCGATTTCATCCAGTCGCATATTCGTAGATTCTGCTTACAGTGTATCCTTTTCCTAGTTGAGATTAATAATTAATGTTGACATATTGAGTTGTCGACTTTCCATAGCTCAGCATGCCATCATTTCACCCATTTATAGACCACAGATTATTTTTAAAAAATGTTTAGAATTTATATGTGATGCAGTAAAGTGAAATACAAGTTATAAGTTTGTTGTGTTGATATTTGACTTTGCCACTGTCCATAATAACGACTTTTATTTTCTGTCCTCATGTTAAGTACCTATCACCCAGTCCTTCTTCTCCATAGTCTTTCATTAGACACTGAAATGTCTGCTTCGTAAGAGTTGTACTTTTGGCTTGTTCATTTATCGTATCTGAATTAAAATACTTAATTTTTGAAAACCTCTGATCAAAAACCTGGAATACATATTTTAACAATCTGGTTTGATTTGAATCGATCCCAGCATTTGCCTACTGCTTTCCTTAACATACCTAAAATAGATGGAGCAGCCTTGATCTATACATCCGTTAAGGAAGAAAAGAATCTCGACTTGTTGTATAAGTATACTGTACATAAAGCATACGGCTTTCACTTTACCACTCCTGCCTTAGTGGTAGAAAAGGATGCAGTTTTCATGTAAGTTTTTTTGTAAATCTTTATTGAAGGTTTTTTAAAATATATATATATACAAAATACTGAAAATAGTCAGAAGGAAAAAGAAAGAAAAAAAGAAAAATATAAAATAAAAAAACAGCAGATAAGTGATTAAAAAACAGGAGCAAGATAGTGTGTATCTCCTTTGTTGACTTCCTGAGTATCTTTCAAGTGGTTTTTCCTCTTCTTTCTTTTGTCTTGCCTTTTCTTCCCTCTTGTTTCCTCTTCCTTTTATATTACTATATTTCCATTTTTCTGTTGCAAATAATTTGTCACTTTTGTCCAATCAGTTTCTTTTATTGCAGTCCCTTTATTTTTTGATATTAGATATGTTAATCTGTCCATATTTTTAATATCTACAATTTTTCTATCCAATCACTAACTTCTGGGATCTCTTCTTTTTTTCCATAATTTTGCGTGGCAAATTCTTGCAGCGGTATTCAATAGAAAAAGAAGTTTATCTATATTTTTTATAATTTTTGATCTATTATCCCTAGTGGGAATGTCCCAGGTTTGAATGGGATTCTTATATTTAATATTTCCTGCAATATTTTGTGAAATTTTCCCCAATATGTTTTAGACTTTGTACATGACCACCACATGTGGAAATATGATCCCTCTATCTTTCCACATTTCCAACATTTTGTGTTTATGTTTTTGTAACATCTCCCAAGTTTTTGGGGGGTCATTCAATTTTCTTTTAGGTCTGTTGTGTATGTGTATTTAATCTTTATTCTCCAAATTTTTTCCCAATCTTCTTTTTTAGTTGTTTTTCAAATATTTTCTTTCCATCTCTTCATATATTTTTTCTCCCTCCGATTCTGTGTTCCATTCCAATAGTTTCCTATATATTTTTGTTATTACTTTTCGTTCTGACTTCAATATAGTGTTCCAGAAGATATCTTGGGTTTTTTTTTTAAAAAAATCAATTTTATTGAAAGAGTATACGATTACATGGAAAGTGGGGGAATATAATGAAGAAGATAGAAAAGTAGGAAATAAAATAGAGTAAAATGAGAAAAAATGAGAAAAAATGATACCTGGTGTATCTTCCTATATGTATTTTAATGATGTTATATCTCTTGCCACAGGGAGAGGCGGGTAATACATTTATTATTATTATTATTTACACAAAAGCACAGTATGTCACAGCAAACGAGATCTGAATGCTGGATTTCGTATCACAAATCACAAGTCAAACACTTCCCAAGCATCTAGGACTGTGTGATGTATTTTCGAATGATGCGCACAGATCCAAGTAAGGTGGCCTTTTGCAGTTGACAGACCATGATTTTGTCAATGTTTATTGTTTCCAAATGCCGGCTGAGATCTTTTGGCATGGCACCCAGTGCGCCAATGACCACTGGGACCACCTGTACTGGTTTATGCCTTTGCAGTTCGATTTTGAGGTCTTGATAGCGGCTGAGTTTTTCCTGTTGTTTTTCCTCAATGCGACTGTCACCTGGAATGGCGACATCAATAATCCATCATCATCATCATTATTATTATTCCTGTGAAAGAACAGAATACAGAGTGGAGGTAGATTGTTAGGCAGAGGAGTGAGGTGGGGACATCCATGATCCGGAAGCAGGGTTTAAATCTTGTTAGTTCTGCTAGAATGACAGGAGATTGAGGGAGGAGAATTTGGAGGAAGAGCAATGGGGCAGTATGGTTGAAGGGCCAGAAAGGGATTAAAGTGTGGCTGTCTCTGTTGGAAGGATAAGAGATTGAGGGGAAAAGAAGGGGGGAATGAGTAATTGGATTTAGTGAAATGATAACTACAAATTCACAAAGAACCAAGCCTGTGAAAGAAAAAAACTTGCAAATATGAAGGGCCAACTCTATGCACATACATTGTATTTCTTTCCCTAGACCTGCTGGCTGGGACAATGAAAAGAAAATTGCAATTCTACATGAAAACTTCACAACAGTTAAAGCAGAAGATGCATATGAAAACTTCATTGTAAAGCCTCCTGTAAGAAAGGTATAGCCTCTTTTTTTTTGTATAATTTTTATTAAAGCTTAATATAATTACATGGAAAGGGGGGGATATTTAAAAGAAGATAGAAAAGTAGGAATAAAGAAGAAAAAAGGGGGAAAAGGGAGAGAGAGAAAGGGAAAAATGTATTCCCTCACATTTAGTTTTCAATTCTTATTTAAATCTCCAATCGTTCTTTCTCTCTTCTATTTTTATCATAGTCTTGAAAGAGAGCCCAAAGCGTCCTTTTTATTGTCTTCCCAGTATTCTTCTTTAATTAAAAAGTTAATTCATCCATGTCCTTTATTTCTCTCACCTTATCCAGCCAATCATTAAGGGCTGGGGTTTGTTCTTGTTTCCAGAGTTTTGCAAAAACAATTCTTGCCGCCATTGTAATAAAAGTAAATAATTTGTCGTTGTTTTCACTAAGCTGTAACTCCGAATCTGTAAAACCTAACAAATAGTACTCAGGGTTTCCTTTTAAAAGTCTTTTTCAAAAAAGTTTGTGTCTCCTCGTGGACCAAAGTCCAATATTTCGAGGTTTCCTTACAAGTCCACCACATATGAAAAAATGTGCCTACCTTTTCACAACCTGAAAGGTATAGCCCCTTTGAAGTAGACGTCGCTTTATTTTACACACAGTGTTCCTGGTAACTATCATATGAAGAGAATATGCAGAATCTGAGGCCTTAATTTGACTCTGTAATCTGGATTTTTTTTTTTTTTGTAAACTAGTAGCATTCTCTTAACACTTGGAGTAGCTCAGTTTTCTGAAGTCAGATTGTGATGTTATATCAGAAAAAGAGTGAAAATGTGGTTCTGGGATCAAGCCTTCAGAGAAGAACCATAGTGCAATGGATTAACTGGAATTATATGCAGTGACTACCGGAATGACCTGGATTATGATTGCGGGTTGTGTAGTTTTATAGTGATAGTAATGTTTTATAATATATTGTCGAAGGCTTTCATGGCCGGAATCACTGGGTTGTTGTAGGTTTTTTTGGGCTGTATGGCCATGGTCTAGAGGCATTCTCTCTTGACGTTTCGCCTGCATCTATGGCAAGTATCCTCAGTGGTAGTGAGGAAGATGCTTGCCATAGATGCAGGCGAAGCGTCAGGAGAGAATGCCTCTAAACCAGGGGTCCTCAAACTTTATAAACAGAGGGCCAGGTCACAGTGTCTCAAACTGTTGGAGGGTCGGATTATAATTTGAAAAACAACAACAACCATGAATGAATTCCTATGCACACTGCACATATCTTATTTGTAGTGCAAAACACTTTAAAACAATACAGTAATTAAAATGAAGAACAATTTTAACAAATATAAACTTATTAGTATTTCAATCAGAAGTGTGGGCCTGCTTTTTTGGCTGATGATACAGGATTGCTGTTGTTGTTGTGTGCTTTGAAGTCATTTCAGACTTAGGTTGCCTTGAGCGAGGGCCAGGTAAATGACCTTGGAGGGCCGTATCCGGCCCCCGGACCTTAGTTTGGGGACCCCTGCTCTAGACCATGGCCATACAGCCCGAAAAAACCTACAACAACCCAATGTTTTATAATGTTTTAATGTACTTAATTTTGATTTTAATTTAAATTTAAATCTATTTTAAATCTGTATTGTTGTTAAGGCATTGAATTATTGCCTATCTGTAAGCCACATTGATCCCCACTGGGGTAAAGAAAAGCAGGCAGGCAATAAATAAATAAATAAATAAATAAATAAATAAATAAAGCTTTTAAAATACAAAAAGTTTCCAAATCTCCCAGAAGGCCTTCCCCGCCCCCGAGCAATGCTTAAGAGCTAATAATAAAGATTATTTGTTACACTAAATCTTCCGACTTAAAAATTAACTCTTTAGCAAGCAGCTGCTGAGACCATCTGCTCATAGTTTTGTTGATATGGATATACTAATCCAACAATAACACTGAAGGCAGGCAGCTTAGCTCCTGCTTGAAACCTCCACGCTGGGTAGAAGGACTGAATGGATCGAAGTACTATGGGCAGCATTTCCTATGTGTCCCTTGTCTATTTGCAGCTTTTGCAGTTCATGTGGCAGTTTGGCTGGTGAAGTGCTGAATCCCAGCCATTAGGAAGCAAATTCCTGTTTAATCAAGCAGGCCAGAGGGGGACTGGCAGAGTGGGTGAAGGGGATCGTCAGTGCTTCCTTAGAACAAGGCAAAATTCCAACTTGCCTAAAGCCTATATTAAAGCCTATATTAAAAAGGCTCTCCCTGAACCCCTCCATAATGGACACATATCAGTCAGTGTTCAGTGTCCCCTTTTTGAGCAAGATTTTGGAGCATGTCTCGGCCTCCCAACTCCAGGGACATCTGGATGAATCAGATTCTCTAGATCGGGGGTCCTCAAACTAAGGCCCGGGGGCCAGATATGGCCCTCCAAGGTCATTTGCCCAGCCCTTGCTCAGGGTCAACCTATGTCTGAAACGACTTGAAAGCACACAACAACAACAACAACCCTACTTCATCAGCCAAAAGCAGACCCACACTTTCCACTAAAATACTAATAGGTTTATATTTGTTAAAAATAGTTTTCATTTTAATTGTATTGTTTTAAGTGTTTTTGCACTACAAATAAGATATGTGCAGTGTGCATAGGAATTTATTCATTTTTTTTTCAAATTATAATCCGGACCTCCAACAGTTTGAGGGACTGTGACCTGGCCCTCTGTTTAAAAAGTTTGAGGACCCCTGCTCTAGATGCATTTCAATCTAGTTTCAGGTCACGCTATGGAAGTGATAGCTTTGGTCGCCTTGGTGGATGACCTCTGCAGAGCACTAGATTGGGGGGTGGGGCATGTCCCTGTTGGTTCCCCTGGATCTCTCAGTGGCTTTTGATACCATTGACCAGGGGTCCTCAAACTAAGGCCCGGGGGCTGAATACGGCCCTCCAAGTTCATTTACCCAGCCCTCACTCAGGGTCAACCTAAGTCTGAAATTACTTCAAAGCACACAACAACAACAATCCTATCTTATCAGCCAAAAGCAGGCCCACACTTCCCATTAAAATATGAATAAGTTTATATTTGTTAGAATTGTTCTTCATTTTAATTATTGTATTATTTTAAGTGTTTTTTGCACTACAAATAAGTTATGTGCAGTGTGCATAGGAATTCATTCATGTTTTTTTCAAATTATAATCCGGCCCTCCAACAGTTTGAGGGTGTGTGACCTGGACCTCTGTTTAAGAAGCTTGAGGACCCCTGCCATTGACCACGGTATCCTTCTGGGTTGCCTTGCTGGGATATGACAGCAGCTCCGAGCCTTCCTGGAGAGCCGTATGCAGAAGGTTGTGCTGGGGGACTCCTGTTTGAACCCCTAGCCCAGTGGTTCTCAACTTGGGGTTCCCAGATGTTTTTGGCCTTCAACTCCCAGAAATCTTAACAGCTAGTAAACTGGCTGGGATTTCTGGGAGTTGTAGGCCAAAAACATCTGGGGATCCCAGTTTGAGAACCACTTCCCTAGCCATTGTCCTGTGGGGTGCCTCAGGGTTCTGTTTTGTTCCCCATACTATGCATGAAACTGTTGGGAGAGGTCGTCTGGCGTTTTGGCATGCAGTGCCACCTATATGCAGATGACACCAAACTCTACTACTCTTTCCCACCTAAAGCCAGGGAAGCTGTCCTGACCCTAATCATTGTCTGTAATCAGTAAAGGCCTGGATGTGAGCAAACAAACTGAAACTTGATCCAGGCAAGACAGAGATAGGCAAGTCATTCGGAAGGCAGATCGGGGAATAAGGATTCAGCCTGTACTGTATGGGTTTACACTCCCCCTGAAGACACAGGTCCACAGTCTGGGGATCCTCTTGGAATCAGCACTGAACCTGGAGGGACCAGGTACCTGCAGTGGCCAGAAGGGCCTTTGCACAATTAAAATTTGTGCACCAACTGTGCCCGTTCCTTGAGAAGCCAGATCTGGCCACGGTGGAACATGCCTCAGTTTTATCCCTTCTAGGTTACTGTAACGTGCTCTACGTGGGGTTGCCTCTGAAGCGTTCTTGGAAACTTTAGCTGGTCCTAAGAGCTGCAGCTAGGTTGCTAACAGGCTGTCTGCGGGGAGTGGACAACCTCCCTGCTTTAGCAGCTCCAACATCATAATAATAATAATAATAATAATAATAATAATAATAATAATAATAATAATAATAGTAATAATAATAATGCTGATGCTGATGATGATTTCTCTAACTTTGCTTACTGGAGCTTTCCTGGAACTTATACATGATGTTTTTATATGTGCATGTGTTTTATTTTATTGTATTTTATATTGTGCTCATTCTTATGTTTTTAGGCATCTTGTGCCATTTCTAAGCCTCGCTGAGTTCCTTCAGGGAATTGGTGGTGGGATAGAAGAATAAAGTAGTAGTTGTTGTTGTTATTATTATTATTATTATTATTATTATTATTTGAAACACAACAAGATGAGTTCACAGCAGACACTCTGCTGGCTGTTGTATTGGATCACACGTTGGACACTTCCCAAGTGTCTAGGGCTGTGAGATGTATCGGTGAATAATGTGTGCAGATCCCAGTAAGGTGGCCTTCTGCAGTTGGCAGATGGTAATTTTGTCAGTGCCGATTGTGTTTAAGTGCAAGCCAAGGTCTTTAGGCACTGCACCCAGTGTGCCGATCACCACTGGGACCACCTTTACTGGTTTGTGTCAGAGTCTTTGCAGTTCGATTTTTAAATCCTCATATAGTGTCAGCTTTTCTAGTTGTTTCTCTGCAATCCTGCTGTCACCTGCAGGATTATTATTATTATTATTATTATTATTATTATTATGTCTGCTTGAGTTTGGACTTCTACATAATGTGTGCCAGACATAAAAGCAATTTGCTCAGATTAATTGAAGACTGGAGAAAGGACTTCATGAATATATGATATCTAAGGTAATTCCGTTCCATTCTCACCTTGTAATTAGTTTTGTGTTTCTCTTGTTCCCCTTTCATCAGTTAGTTCACGATAAGGAGCTTGCTGCTGAAGATGAACAAGTGTTTCTTATGAAGCAACAGGTAGGAAAACAAAACTGTTATTTTCTTAAGCTTAGAATGCTGAAATCGATGTCATTTGTAAATAATTGGAAGTTGATACGTGGATGATCGGACTGAGGTGCTGCAGAAGGTGAATGCAGTGCACTAGAATGCAGTGCCCTCCTGTGTTTGTCCATTCTCTGCGCAGAATGGGTGCAGATGTAGTTTTGGTTGTTAAGGCTATAAATGTTCTATAGCTGCAGGGTATGGGATTGCATTGCATTAATTGCCAGAACTTGCTTCCAAAGAACCTGGGAATTACGCTGCTGTGAGAATGTTGTGAGAGAGCTCTATGCTCTGCAGCATTGCGATTCCCCTATTCTTTAAGAGTAAGCCATTACTTTAGGCAAACATAAAATCATAGTATACACATAGTGATAAATCTCTGGATTTAAAAAATTGATACACCTATATTTTTCCTGTGAGATTACCCTATATACTCATGAATAAATGTAGAAATATTTGTCAAAAATTCAACTTCATAACTCTTTTCAAAATGGGAACCTTCCCCATCTATGAATAGAGAGGTGAGAGATGAGAGCTTAAACCAGACCTGCACAACATATGGCTTGTGGGCTGGTTGCAGCCTACAAATGCCTGCAGAATGACCATAGACTTATCTGCAGGACATGTAAACATCCAGAATTTGTGCACCGAAACCTGCCTTTGATTTAACACCTGAAGTCAACTTATGCATGAGTATATTAGTCATGTGCATTCAGGCCAAAAGATATACTGTTTTTGGGTCTGTTCCATCTGATCCCTCATTTCGTTTACCATAAAGTTACTCAAAAGGGGTGGGGCGTTTCCCATTTCATTCAGCAGAGATTTGGCCCATTGGTACAATGGGAAACTTTAAAGGCTCAATCCTCAGCCATTTTAAGTCCTATCTGCATGAAACCTGCCTCTGTTGTAGACCCCATTTACAACTGCAGACCTGCCAAGTTTTTTTAAAAAAATCCACTGTGCTGGCATAGCAGTGCCAGGAGATTTTAACCTCTTTTTCTTGCACTGCTAGTTTGTATGAATTTATTTAGCCATGCATTTTGCAATCAAGTAGCTTCCCCAGATTGCAGCCGTAGGGCCAGCAATAATCATTAGAGTCTTTAGACTCGCCCTTTTTCCCAGTGTTTTGGAGGCAAAGGAGGACCTTTGTTCAGTCTCACTGTTTGAAGCCTAACAGCAGGACGTGTGGGATTCTCTTTCCCACCTGCACAAAAGCTTCACTTCTCACAGCTCTGCTGGGGGAGTAAAGGAATAGTTCCACAGCTTTTTCTGGGGGAATACAGCCAGCTTTTGCTGGGGCAACAGGACAATTCCTACAGCCTTCATGGAGTAATCTAAAGGACTTAGCAGATCTACAGAAACCTTGTCTGGTAAGGGACCACTCGGGCTATCCATAAAGTAGCTTGGAGCCGGGAGTAGGGGCCTCATGCCAGCAAGGTAAAGAAAGATTGCCCAGGGAGGGGTCAGAAGATTTCCCTAAGGAAGAAAGAAACAGTTTACCACCAGTTGCCTGCCCCTTGTTGGCAGATTGAGAAAGCTACCGGTTTTCCAAGGTTATAAAGCGATTAATTTATTTGTTTGAAGATTTAAGCCCAAATAAAGAACTTTGTTGAATTTATTTTGAGCCTCAATAGAACTTTGTGTTGGGAAATCTAAGGGGCCCTTCAGCTGAGGCACCCCGGCGTCCCGTTGGGCATACAGAGAGCACGTCCTGTAAACAGACATTATTTCAGGCCCAGCGTGCGACAGCACATCCACCAACCTACTGTTTTTTTAGAATTATTTTAAGTTTTAAACATAACATTTAAAGAAATAAGACAAATGGCAAGAGAGGGTTCTGGAAATTGTAGTCGCCGATTGTGTCCATTCTCAGTCATTCAGAGCATGGACACCACCAGGCTTTTTACTGACTGAGAGACACACAGAGAGAAAGACTTCAACTCCCATCATGCTCTGAGAGGAACTTTCAATGGCCATCCTATGCTAGTGCCACTGGGAAAGTGAGTTCCAAGGGCCCTCTCTAGAGGAGGAGGGAACTTTCCAAGAAAAAATGGAGGAGGCTTCTTCTGCTGGGGAGAGAAAAAGACGCCACAGATCCCCTGCCTCAGGTATTTTGTGGACTCAACTCTTTCCAAAAACATTGTCTCTCTGAATTCATTTCACTGGTCTTTTTGTCTCTCTCTTCCCCTTTCTGTTTGTAAAAATTACACGAAAATGATTATCCGAAAACGACAAATCTTTTCGTTAACTGTTATTTGGACCCAGCTCTAGGGTATATACAATCCATAGCATGTCTCACATCACTTTTTTGTATCCGTGCCTTCAAGTTGTGTTGACTTATGGAAATTCCATCAATTTCATAAGTTTTTCTCAGGCAAGGAATACTTGTAAGTGGTTTTGTCTTTCCCTTATTCTAAATTCACTTATATGGAAGTAATCCTCATTGCTCTTTAACTCTGGTGCCCTCTCTTGATAGTTTATAAAAATATGTCAGATCCAAAAAGGATGACGCTTAAACTTACAAAAGAACATTATACACACAGTTACAGTATATTCTGGCGTATAAGACTACTTTTTAACCCAAGAAAATCTTCTCAAAAGTCAGGGGTCGTCTTATATGCGGGTGTAGTCTTATGCATGGGAGTCATCTTAACTCTATATTTTAACTGGAAAAGTTGGGGGTCGTCTTATACACCCAGTCGTCTTATATGCCGGAATATACGGTACTTTTTGAAATGTATATCTCAGTATATTTATGAGCGTTTGGTTCTCTTTTAGTCGTACCTTGCCAAGCAACCAGCCACACCCACAAGGGCTTCTGTAAGTATACATTTGTAGAAACATTGCTTTCAATCTAGAAAAGAAGTCAAAATACCAGACAATTGAAACTATTGAACTCTTCTATTACAGCACTTGTTTACAGCCTTCTTGGAGTAAAGCACACCATTTCAGATAGTCATTCCTGTAGCACCTCGAGATTAAAGTAATTTGTTCTTGTTTACATAGAAAAGAAAAGAAAAATAATGAGATAGTTTATTCAATGCTTAGACCATAGGTCTTTCACATATAGGACAATCAAATAAATACATAAAAGTCAAATTATTACATACAATACGAAATACACCGTTAAAGGTTCTGGCCCAGACTACCTGAACGTATCTCCTGGTACGAACCATCACAAAACTTAAGATCATCTGGAGAGGCCCTGTTCTCGATCCCACCACCATTGCAAACGCAATGGTGGTCCAGCATTTCTGTGTTCTCAAATAATAGGGAAGCTGATGAGGAAACACAACATACAAACAATCTACAAACCCACCAAGAAAATCCAACAAATGCTACGTTCAGCAAAGGACAAGAGGGATCCTCTCACTTCTGCAGGAGTCTACCGTATACCATGCAGCTGTGGACAAGTCTACATAGGGACCACCAAACGCAGCATTGCCCAAACACAAATCAAGGAACATGAAAGGCACTGCAGGCTACTTCAACCAGAGAAGTCAGCCATAGCAGAGCACCGATGAACCAACCTGGACACAGCATATTATTTGAGAACACAGAAATGCTGGACCACTCTCACAACCACCATGTCAGACTACACAGAGAAGCCATTGAAATCCACAAGCATGTGGACAATTTCAACAGAAAGGAGGAAACCATGAAAATGGACAAAATCTGGCTACCAAAAACTCTAAAATTACAACAGCAAAACAACAGAGAGAAAACAATTTGGGACATCTAATCACCTCTCAACAAAAGATTGCCCCAGGCACTGCCAGGCCATCAAATGCTAATCAAGGTGGTCAGTTGAAACATTCACACCTAGCCCCAGCAGACAAGAGTCCTTTGTCCCACCCTGGTCATTCCACAGATATATAAACCCATTTTCCTAGTTCCAACAGACCTCACTACCTCTGAGGATGCTTGCCATAGATGCAGGCGAAACGTCAGGAGAAAATGCCTCTAGAATATGGCCATATAGCCCAAAAAAACCTACAACAACCCAGTTTCATTCCTCTTCAGTCTAAAGCAGTGGTTCTCAGCCTGTGGATCTCCATTTATTTTGGCCTACAACTCCCAGAAATCCCAGCCTGTTGACTAGCTGTTAGGATTTCTGGGAGTTGAAGCCCAAAACATCTGGGGACCCACAGATTGAAAATCACTGATCTAAAGCGTGATTTAATTTGGAGCTATGTGGGAGATCAGATAATTGCACCGTGCCTATGGTGCAGCTGGCTGAGTGTCAGCTGCATTAAGATCACTTCTGACCAAATGGTCATGAGTTCGAAGCCAGCCCAGGTCGGAGTGAGTTTCCGCCCAATTGTGTAGCTTGTTGTTGACCTTTGCAACCCGAAAGACAGTTGCATCTGTCAAGTAGGGAAATTAGGTACCACCTATGTATGGGGAGGCTAATTTAACTAATTTACGAGGCCATAAAAAGGACTCCAGCAAAGCACTCCCAGCAAAAATCATGCGGGGAATGCGGAAAGTACTTCATCAGTGTCGCAGATGGACAATAAAAGCAACAGCTCCCCTGATGGCCAGAAAAGTTAAATAGCCTCTGACTGTCTGTCTTTGTGTGTCTTTGGCATTAAATGTTTGCCATATATGTGTACATTGTAATCCGCCCTGAGTCCCCTGCGGGGTGAGAAGGGCGGAATATAAATACTGTAAATAAATAAATTAATGCTCAGTAGACTTAAACTTACTTTTCATGTTGGGTGTACATTGTCTTGTTGTTCAGGAATCTCCTGCACGAGGGCCTTCTGGATCACCGAGACCCCAAGGCCGACCAGGCCCTACTACTGTCCCCAGTGCCTCACCAATAGCATCGGTTAAGAAGCCAGATCCAACTATTAAAAGTATGCAATTCAATTTAATGTGTGTATGTATGACATTTTATATATAGTCTCTCTGCTTTATAAACTAATAGTGCAACCCTAAGTTGGCAAGTGAGTCAACATCCATTTGATCTGAAATTAGACTGCTGAAGTTGTGCTGTATCCAAACCTTGATCCTGGCAGAGCAGATGTGGTTCTGTTTGATGGATAGAGATTCGGGGATTTTATTTTGGAGGAAGTTCCCTTAGTTTCCGTGTGTTCCTTCGCCGGGAGCTCGACAGGGGGAGTGTGTCCCTGTTGGTTCTGCTGGACCTCTCAGCGGCCTTCGATACCGTTGACCACGGTATCCTTCTGGGACGCCTCGCAGAAATGGGACTTGGAGTGGCTTCGGTCCTTCCTGGAGGGTCGTTCTCAGAAGGTTTTACTGGGTGACACCTGTTCGGCTCCACAACCATTGTCTTATGGAGTCCCTCAGGGTTCAGTGCTGTCCCCGATGTTATTTAACATCTACATAAAGCCGCTAGGGGAGATCATCCAGAGTTTCAGAGTAAGGTGTTATCTGTACGCAAATGACGTCCAAATCCGTCACTCCTTCCCACCCATTACTAAGGAGGCTGTCCAGACCTTGAACCAGTGCTTGGCCGCTGTGTCGGACTGGATGAGGGCTAACAAATTGAAATTGAATCCAGACAAGATAGAGATCCTCCTGGTCAGTCGCAAGGCCAAACAGGGCATAGTTACAGCCTGTGTTGGATGGGGTTACATTCCCCCTGAAGACGCAGGTTCACAGCTTGGGAGTGATCCTGGATTCATCGCTGAGCCTGGAACCCCAGGTTTTGGCGGTGACCAGGGGAGCTTTTGCACAGTTAAAACTCGTGCACCAGCTGCGCCCGTACCTTGAGAAGTCTGATCTGGCCATGATGATCCACGCTCTGGTTACATCCCGAATAGATTACTGCAACGCGCTCTACGTGGGGCTGCCTTTGAAGACGGTTCGGAAACTTCAGCTAGTTCAACGGTCGACAGCCAGACTACTAATTGGGGCGGCATACAGGGAGCATACCACCCCCTGTTGTGCCAGTTCCACTGGCTGCTGGTCCATCTCCGAGCCCAATTCAAAGTGTTGGTCTTGACCTATAAAGCTCTATACAGTTCTGGCCCAGCTTACTTGTCCGAACACATCCGCCCCTACGTCCCACCTCGTAATCTAAGATCATCCGGGGAGGCCCTGCTCTCGCTCCCATCAACAGCACAAATGCGCCTGGCGGGGACGAGAGACAGGGCCTTCTTGGCTGTGACCCCCCGCCTTTGGAACACATTCCCAAATGAGGTAAGATCCGCTCCCTCCCTCCTGGCTTTTAGAAAAACATTAAAATCATGGTTTTGGGACCAGGTCTTTGGGCAGTAGAAGTAAATGTATGCAGCATTTCAGAAAGACAATGACTGGAACGGTGATTTGACGAACGAGACTGTTTTATTGTTTTAATGATTGTTTTATTGCTTATGGATGTATTGTTTTAATTTGATTTATGTCTAATTGTAGTGTATAATTGTAATAGTTTGTACTGGCATTGAATTTTGCCATTACTTATGTGTAAACCGCTTTGAGTCCCCCTCGGGGTGAGAAAAGCGGTATAGAAATACTGTAAATAAAATAAATAAACATCGGCGTAATTTTATGTCAACACATAGGTTGTGCTCAATTCAGTTATTTTGCATTCTGAAACTGGATTATATGACTGTAGATCCAACTGTTATTTCACACAAATTATAGAATAGAATCATAGAATCATAACCGTTGGAAGAGACCTCATGGGCCATCTAGTCCAACTCCCTGCCAAGAAGCAGAAAAATCACATTCAAAGCACCCCTGACAGATGGCCACCCAGCCTTTGTTTAAAAGCCCCCAAAGAAGGAGCCTCCACCACATTCCAGGGCAGAGAGTTCCACTGCTGAACAGCTCTCACAGTCAGGAAGTTCTTCCTAATATTCAGGTGGATTCTCCTTCCCTGAAGTTTGAAGCCATTGTTCCATGTCCTTGTCTCCAAGGCAGCAGAGGTGATAATTATAACCACTGTGAATAAATTACTTGTGATCAATGCACTTGTATTGAACAAACAAGGAAAGCAAACATCCAAAGACATAGGAGTGATGGCTAGGTAAGAAGTTGGCATAAGAGCCAATAAATTGGGGGGGGGGGGGGGGAGAACTATAAAACCAGAAAATTGTGTATGAGTAAACAGCTCTGATGGGTGAGTTATGGTTAGGGGATTTGTATATAACTTTTCCTCCTTACTGCGTTGTTTTGAAAACAATTAAAGTGTTGAAAGGTTTGTAATCCATTTAAACTTTACATGTCTTGAACTCTTTTATTTAGATAATGCAGCAAGTGAAGGCGTCCTGGCCAGCTTCTTCAACAGTCTTTTGAGTAAAAAGACTGGCTCTCCTGGGAGCCCTGGTGCTGGAGGAGTACAGAATGTCACTAAAAAATCAGGTATTGATGTGTTATAAGGGAACAAAGGACGGGTGGGAGCTGGAAAGCTAATATACTTTCTCCAGGCTGATGCACCCTTTTTCTATTCTTTCAATAAATACAAGTCTTTTCACAGGCGTTTTGAGCCTGTTTTGAAACTACAAAGAGTAGCTCTGAGCAGAGAATCATATGACCAGTTGAGCCTTTTTTGCTTTCTTCCAGCAATCCAGAGTGAGGAAGCCCAAAGCAACTTAAAATGTATTTCAAATCATTAGTTGATGTAACTTTTGGGCTTTGCAGGAAGCTAGATGCCAAAGGGAGTGATGTTTTGCCCTTGTTGGGTTGAAAGTTAATTATCGTATATACTCGAAGATTAGCTGAGTTTTCCAGCCCTTTTTGGGGCTGAAAAAGCCTCCTTCAGCTTATAATGGGGTCAAGCTGGGCAGCGGAGCCTGGATGCCATTGCCTGCAATGTATGATTTATTTCTCTCTCATTTTCTCTCTTAACAGTGTGTTTTCTTTTCCAAATCCTCCCTCTCTTGCTCAAGAGGGGGAGAAGCCCTTGCAAGTCAGGAATAGCCATTAATCTTATAAAAGCATTTCCCTATGAAATATTTGTTAATCTCACCTTCAGATATATAGGCCTTTCCCCCTGCAAGCCTTTGCAATCCCTATGTACCTCTATCTATCTATCTATCTATCTATCTATCTTATGTACTGTATATACTCAAGTATAAGCCTAGTTTTTCAGCCCTTTTTTTAGGCTGAAAAAAAAAATCCCCTCAGCTTATACTTGAGTCAAGGTTATTTATTATTTTACTCTGTTATTAGTATTATTTTTATTACATTTATTATTTTACTTTATTATTAATTATTATTATTATTACATTTACATTATTTTTACTCTATTATTACTTTTATTACATTTATTATTTTATTGTATCATTATATTTATTGCATTTATTATTTTACTCTATTATTGTTATTATTACATTTATTACTTTATTATTATGACTATTATTATTCAGTTCCCATTATTTACTCTATTATTATTTTATTACATGTTATTACATTTATTATTTTATTCTATCATTATAGGTAATAGGTAAGCACATTTACATTGAAGGAGGTTAGAATAATGGTTGAACCAGAGTTGGGCAGTCTTACAGTTTTGTGTAAATACTCAAAAACATTTAACCTACTGACGATCACCAGTAGCAACTACATTTCTCACCCTCGGCTTATACTCAAGTCAATACGTTTTCCCAGTTTTTTGTGGTAAAATTAGGTCCCTCGGCTTATATTCGGGTTGGCTTATACTCGAGTATATACGGTACATTAATTTTATATAAAAAGTTTCCCCTCAGGTCTTTGCAAATCCAATATAACTATAATTATTTATATAGAGAGAGATGTCTAGAAAGATATATATGAATATAGATATATATGGCTTACAAATATTGCAGGGGAAATGCACACACACACACACACACATAAATAGAGAGATGTCTAGATAGATATAAATAAAGATGTATCGGGCTTGCAAATATTGCAGGATGGAAATGCACATATATATAGAGAGGATTTTTAAATGTTTCAGAGGGAAATGCATATGTGAAATTAGTATATGTAGTGATAGATCTTAGCTCTACATTGTTTATATAGGCATTGAATGTTTGCCTGTTACTATATTGGAAGCCAGCCTGAGTCCCCATGCAGAGATAGGGCAGGATACAAAAGAAGTATTATTATTATTATTATTATTATTATTATTATTATTATTATTATTATGTTATTGTTGATACCATATTGTTTTTATTGATCCTCCTTTTCTACTTACAGAGCTAGTTTACTATGTTTCTTTGAAATACAGTAAATATTAAAACACATTTAAAACCTACTGATGCCTCAATTAATGTAATTTTATTGGTATCTATTTTTATTTTGAAATTTACCAGTAGCTGCTTCATTTCTCACCCTTGGTTTATTCTTGAGTCAATACATTTTCCCAGTTTTTTGTGGTAAAATCAGGTTCCTCGGCTTACATTCGAGCCGGCTTATACTCTAAGTATATACAGTAATGATGTAAATTAATTTAGTTCATTTGGTTCGTCTTAATCAGCATAACCAGTGATGTCCACAGTTACAGTTCTGCAACTTCTGGATGTCACCATTTCCCCCCTCTGCCTGACTAAGACTATAAAGCAGGGGTCCTCAAACTAAGGCCTGGGGGCCGAATACGGCCCTCCAAGGTCATTTACCCGGCCTTCACTCAGGGTCAACCTAAGTCTGAAACGACTTGAAAGCACACAACAACAATAATTCGATCTCATTAGCCAAAAGCAGCCCCACACTTCCCACTGAAATACGAATAAATTTATATTGGTTAAAATTGTTCTTCATTTTAATTATTATATTGTTTTAAAGTGTTTTTTGCACTACAAATAAGATATGTGCAGTGTGCATAGGAATTCATTCTTTTTTTTTTTCAAATTATAATCCGGGCCTCCAACAGTTTGAGGGACTGCGACCTGGCCCTCTGTTTAAAAAGTTTGAGGACCCCTGCTATAAAGGTTCAGTTTGGCTAATGGAAGAGTGAAATGTTTTTAGCACACAAATGTGTAGCCCCACTATGTGTAACTCCACCTCGATACAATAGAATCTCGCTTATCCAACCTTCAGTCATCCAACGTTCTGTATTATCCAATGCAGTCTGCCTCCTGCCCAGTTCCACAGCTATTTCAATACATTGCAATGTTTTAGTGCTAAATTCATAAATACAGTTATTACTACATAACGTTACCATGTATTGAACTGCTTTTTCTGTCGATTTGTTGTAAAATCGGATGTTTTGGTGCTTAATTTGTCAAATCATAATGTAATTTGATATTTAATAGGCTTTTCCTTAATCCCTCCTTATTATCCAACATTTTCACTTATCCAACATTCTGCCTGCCTGTTTATGTTGGATAAGCGACCCTGCATGACCGCATTTCTGTGTACAAATCCACACGATCTCTTCGATCATCTGGAGAGGCCCTGCTCACGCTCCCACCTCCTTTGCAGGCGCGATTGGTGGGGACGAGGGAGAGGGCCTTCTCAATGGTGGCCCCTCGACTCTGGAATTCACTCCCTAAGGACACCAGACATGCCCCAACGTTGGCAGTCTTTAGGAGGAGCCTGAAAACGTGGTTGTTCCAGTGTGCCTTCCCAGAATAAGGAAAACACTTAGCAATATGTCCTCAAATGCACTTTAATATTGATTTAGGATTGTCTCTGTGCCCTCATCTTTCTCTGAAAACTCTATTCTAGTTTACCCTACCTTGTTCATGCCCAGCATTTTAAATTTTAATTATTACATTTGGCCCGGCCATAGGTTTTAAATGCTGTATGTTATTGTTATGGTTTATTGCTTATTGTGTATTTTCTGTTTTTGAGTTTATTTTAACTGTTTTGTATTGACTATTCGTTATCGCTTTTGTTTATTGATATGCTGTGGGCTTGGCCTCATGTGAGCCGCACCGAGTCCCTTGGGGAGATGGTAGCGGGGTACAAATAAAGTATTATTATTATTATTATTATTATTATTAGCGAGACTCTACTGTATTTTGCTTTTTCTTTGCCACGGTAGAATTGTGGGCTCTGCAAACATAATGAAATCTATTGATGTTCCCATACATAAACTAACAACTTGGTGCTTTTTAGGGCAAAAAACTGTTTTGACAAATGTTCAAGAAGAACTGGACAGAATGACGCGCAAGCCAGACTCTATGGTAACGGCCAACTCCTCTCCAACAGAAAATGAAGCTTGATTATGCTTGAGAGCTGCATATGTAAATGACCAAATAACTCTGTACATTGATCTGATAATACCAGGGGCTCTCTGCTATGGCAGATGCTATAAGTTTTTCATGGGGCAGGGGGGAAACAAAACTTAACCTTCATTGGCTTGTCCCAGTATCAAGTGCACATTTGGGAAGTTTTGCATATGAAATTCCTTTGTTTTGAAATAACCATTTTAGAATAAACAGGGCAATTCTCTTATTTGGGGTGGCAAACGGAAGTGGAGATGTGGGTCGTGGAGACAAAGAGACAAGATGCAAAATTCCTTTTGGAAAGCCCTAATAGCTGCTGGCAGTAGGGAAGAATGAGGTCCCTTTCCCCCAAGTTTACAGGCATGGGCCGTTCAAGTCGTACTTGGAGCGAATCTGGTGTAGCCGATTGTTGGTTAGATGAAGAATGTATAGATTGCATTTTTAAAAAAAGATGAAATGCAAGATCTGCTTAGCAGAGCAAAAAAGCGTATTGAAGAGACTGGAGTGAAGCAGTATTGTAGGTCAGATAATCACGTTTTTAAAAAATGCCTTTCTAATTGAGGCGCGCTCAAAACTTACAACACTGAACATCATGGGAATTATTCTTACTCTCAACTGCATTTTGTTTTTGTTCTAACAGAAGTAAGGAAAAGTATGATGGGTGCCCTTTTTGTCATAACTGACACAGGGAGAAACTTGCTTAGACCAAGTGCCTGGCACAGTGAGAGATGTGTCTTTTAGAAGGTGCTTGAACCTCTTGTGCACTATAGTACAAACAGTCTCTGTTTGTTTAACTTTATTTTGAAATGTGTTAACTTTTGATAGTCATGTTTAATTTTTTAATTCTTTCTTTCCCTGAAAGCCGTTGCTTAGTTAGGGTTGTTCCTCCACTCCCAAATACTCAAAACTGCCTGGCCTGGGAAGAACAAAGACATATCACTGGATCGTTGTGAGTTTTTTTAGCTTGTATGGCCATGTTCCAGAAGCATTCTCTCCTGATGCTTCGCTTGCATCTACAGCAAGCATCCTTAGAGGTTGTGAGGTCTCACAACCTCTGAGGATGCCTGGCATAGATGTGGGTGAAACGTCAGGAAAGAATGCTTCTGGAATATAGCCATACAGCCTGAAAAACTCACAGCAACCCCGTGATTCCGGCCATGAAAAAGCCTTTGACAATACAAGGACATATCATTTTCCCATAATGAGACATGTGACAGAAAACATTGTTTTTTAAAGTTCACTCCAAGAGAAAAACTGAATCCTGCCTTAAGGTTTTAAAAAACGTGTTATGATTTTTCTGATAGACTTTCTTCCAAGGATCTCGTCCCAAATTGCAGTAAACTCGTATTTGTAGGTTTACACAGATAAACATAGACCTTCACGGCTTTGTTATTTTCATGTTTTACCCCTTTCAGTGTAGCTTTTCAATGTGGAAAGAAACCCGAATGTTGTCTGTTGTTGGTAATCAGATTAGTACTTTTTAGCCCCTGAGATAAACTTTCAAAGTTACTGAAATGGCACTTTTTGAGTTTCTGTACTGAAACACTACCTTGCATCATAGTACCAAACATGTTTATAATCAACTTGCAGAAGGGAAAAAGAAAACATCATATGAATTATGCAGAGTTTACTTTATCGATAAGAGATTTGTGTGTTTGGCTATCTTGTTTCTGAATAGAACATGCTCATATATGTGTGTGTGTGTGTTTGCATGCACACAAACATACAGAACATACGAATGAACACACAGAACAAATTGACCACTAATACAGTCCTGGATGTAATTGTAAAACCTGTGTTACATAAAGAGGCCCTCTCTTTGTTTTGTAAGTCCGTTTAACACTAACTAGAAGACTAAGAGTATTTATTTGTGCTAACATGAAAGCATGTACACTTGTGCCAGTTATGTCTCCTTCGGTTTTTTAAATTTACTTTTAACACCTCATTGATATCCACAGTTGCCTAGATATTAAAGTGACGAGATATTCAAAGTGGTCGAGGGATCTGGTGTGTGGTTTTGCTGCCTATGACCATCTGGCATATGATTTGTCAGAAATCTGTGAGCAAAACCTTTAGCCTTGGGCCACCCCAGCAGATGCTATTGCATCTTGCCCTTGCAGTTTGCAGCTTTACTTATACTCTTAGGCAACTGCAGCTGTTGTGCCATGTATAGATGCGTTGGCATGCTGGGATGGCTGATTTGAGTTCACCTTGGGTTCTAACAGAAGGCGCTTCCCCACCTTCCATGCTTGCTGAATGTCAATAACATAGAACCAGCCTTCTGAAGGGCTAGGCAATCCAGAGTTGATTTGGCTACGTCCGTGGTTCTCAACCTGTGGGTCCCCAGGTGTTTTGACCTACAACTCCCAGAAATCCCAGTTTACCAGCTGTTAGGATTTCTGGGAGTTGAAGGCCAAAACCTCAGGGGACCCACAGGTTGAGAACCACTGGGCTACATGGAAATCTTGTTCAATTGCAGAGAATGACACTTTGGAAGCAAAACGAGCAAGTCCCGAGGACCTTACACTAGAGTTTAAAGATTAGGCAAAGGGTGTGCATCCCATTTGAAATCCTGTGGCGGCCTCCTGCAGAATACTGGGTTTTGTAGTTTAGGGAGACCCAGGACCTCTCTGGCAGAGCATTTTAAAGGTCCCTCCCTAACTACAAAGCCCAGAATTCTACAGGAGGCGGCCACAGGATTTTAAGTGGGAGGCACTTTCAGTAGGCGCAAAATATCAGAAACTGAAACTGCCCAGTTTTTGTTTGTTTGTTTTGATGCAAAAGTCAGTGGTGGTCAGAAAAGGAACAGAACAAAAAGATCCTAAAACAGTATTAGAATTTTGGAAAATGACAGCCTTATTGTCATGTTGATCCGTTAGTGCGGAGTCAAGAAGGTCCATGAGATTGGTGGCCATATTGTCCATTAGTGACTTTGTTTGGGAAATTATTGTGTGTTTTATTTTACATTTTAATTTATGACTACAAACTATGTTTCTTTCATTTAGAAACACATAATTAAGTGAACGAAAATCAATGTTTGCATTTGCTATTTAGGCAGAACACAGATTTGTCCATAGTTGTTCCCTGACTGTCAACCTTTCATTTCATTTCATTTTGACTGTCCCTTATTTGGGCAGTTTCAGTTTCTGATATTTCACTCCTTACTTACTCTTTAAGCCAGTGGTTCTCAACCTGTGGGTCCCCAGATGTTTTGGCCTTCAACTCCCAGAAATCCTAACAGCTGGAAAAATGGCTGGGATTTCTGGAAGTTGCAGGCCAAAACACTGGGGATTCACAGGTTGAGAACCACTGGTCTAGATATATATAGTGAGCTTAGGAGTCACCATAGAGACGTGGTTCTCAACCTGTGGGTCCCCAGATGTTTTGGCCTTCAACTCCCAGAAATCCTAGCAGCTGGTAAACTGGCTGGGATTTCTGGGAGTTGTAGGCCAAAACACCTGGGGACCCACAGGTTGAGAACCACTGTCATATAGGCTACATACTGATCTTAGGAGGCCCTCAATGACCATCTAGAACAGTGGTTCTCAACCTGTGGGTCCCCAGATGTTTTGGCCTTCAACTCCCAGAAATCCTAACAGCTGGTAAACTGACTGGGATTTCTGGGAGTTGTAGGTCAAAACACCTTGGGACCCACAGGTTGAGAACCACTGTTCGAGTGTGATAAAGTCCTTCATCTCATGATGTATGTGGTTCCAGTGTGAGCCTTGGTACCTAACTGCCTCTTATTAATATTGTTGTCATTCATACAGACAGTTTACTTTGAGTATCAATAATGTGTATCTGCTGTTTTTTTTAATGCCATATGAAATGAATGTTTGCTCCACTACAGATGAACAAAAGCAAAAAATATATATTGCTTTCCCACTGTGCAAAACAGAGTGCTTCGATTCAAACAAAGTTGGAACTTCCCCTTCTTCCCCTTTTTACAAGCGAATGCTCCTCGTTTCTCGAAGAAAGACGATGCAGTGTTTGCTGAGGACTAGTAACTTTGGAAAGATGCACAGTTGTCTTTTTTTGTGTTCTTAAGCATTGGAACCAAAGGCCAAACTGCAAACAGTACCTTTTGAAATATAATTAATTTTTATTTTCAGGATACACTTTTATGGTAGACTGTTAAAATTACTACACAGCTATATTTATATACAGTACAGTGATTGCATCTACTGTTCATGTTTAAACTAAAGTAATAATCTATTGAACTTGAAGAGAAGGTAAATATACAGGATTGGCCCTCCATCAAAATGCAATGGTTATGCTGCTTGTTTTTTTTTTAAGTTTGCACTTTTTATTGGCATTTTAAGACATGTTTAAACTGAACAGAACTTGTTGTATTTTATTTAATTTAACTGCATTGAAAGTGACTGAACTTAACCATATCCATGCTGTAAATGAAAGTTCACTCTCTTGTATTACTAAGTTTATTGATGTTTTTAACTTCCATTGAGGACTGCAGATATATCCAACACAACCCTTAGTCCAGTTGTACAGCTTTAACCAGGAGCAGCTATGTTGAACCTTGCTTTTTAGTGCTGGCAAAAAAGGAGGACATGTCTTTTCATTAATGGCTTCAATAAACACCAACCAAGACTGCTCACTAGTGTCGTGTCTTTACTGTGCAGCATGGGTCTAGATCTGTGGTCAGAAGCGAACAACATTCTGAATTCAGAATACACCCAATTCAACCAACCAAATATGCTGACCCACTAAAACTTTCCAGTATTTTTTGCCAGCAGTAGGAATTTATTTATTTATTTACACTATAGCTTGCAAGGCTCACAAGAAATCAAATGACAGAGATGACGGGGGCATCCAGTCCAACTCAATGGTTTGTACAATAGAGCACTCCTAGCAGATGGCCATCCAATCAGTTTAAAGACCTCCAAAGACAGCAAGATCACCATCTTGTGGGGTTATGCATTTCACAATCAAATAGGGAGGGGAAGAAGACCATAGCACCCCCAGTTTTCGAGTGAAAGATTTTCCTGTAGTTCTTGGGGAAGGCACCAAAGCTGTAGTTCTCTCTCTGCCCTCTGAGACTCCTTCTCAGGACTCAGACCTTCCCGAGGGCAGACTCGAGGACACCTGGAATAATGCTGCAAAATTATAACTAAGGAATTATATGAAATGGAAGAGGCAAATGTAACAAGATTAAGGAAAGTAACTCAAAAACAATTACGAGAATATAAAAATATAAAACTATCATGGTTTGGAAGGGTAGTGCTAGTTAAAATGAAAATTCTTCCAAAGATAAATGTTATATTTAGAATGGTACCACTACAGATATCAGAGGAGGAATTAAACAAATGGCAATAATTAATTAATTAATATTGCAATGGCAATAAGAAAAACAGGTTAAATAAACAGTTTTGGTATAGGTCACAAAAGGTTGGAGGTTTAGCACTTCCCAATATTAAAAAATACTATGAAGCAAACAGGATGAGACTAGTTATAGAAGGGATAATAAATAAGGAGGATTTGGAATGGTTGGAGGAAGATTCAGAAGAAGTAGAGGATAAAATTTGGAATATATTTTTAAGGATATAAAAAGGAAAGAAATTAAAAGAATAAAAAACCCAATGTTGAGAAATGTGATAGGAATTTGGAATAGATACAAGGAAATATTATCAGAAAGTTCAACACTAACACCAATAATAATGAATAAAAAATTCCCTAAAAATTTTAAAAAATATATTAGATAAAAAATTAAGAGAGAAGAATGTAGATAGAATTGGAGATTGAATAAAAGCAAACACGAGGAAGGAAACCATATTGAGATAATTTAGAGATATTAAACTCTCATGGTTCCATTGTCTACAGTTAGAGCAATGGTTCAAGAATTGGATAAAAAAAATGGGGAAGGAGGAAAACTTATGCAAGTTGAACAAATGATACAAAAAGAAAGAGCGACGGGAGGATACCACAAGCTGAAAGGAATAACTAGCAAATTGTATAAGATAATAATTGATATTAAGGGGAAAAAAAATAAAGGATGTAACATTAAGAGAGATATGGGAGGAAGACCTAGGGATTAGAATTAAAGAAGCAGATTGGGTACAATTATGGGATCAAAGATATTTAAAGAACTTATCGATATGTTAAAGAAAATTATTATAAATTGGTTTGGAAATGGTACTTAACACCAGTAAAGATTGCAAATATTAATAGGAATTCCACAAAAAATTGTTGGAGAGGTTGCCAGGAGGTGGGTACATATATACATATGTGGTGGCAATGTAAATATGTAAATGAATTTTGGGGGAATGTATTTGGAGAGATAGAAGCTATAATGGATATGAAGATAGGGAAAAGTGCATGCATTGCATTGTTGTCACTATATAATGGTAAGAAATTGGGGAAAAACAGAGAAAGATGCAATAGATAACATGTTAACTGCAGCAAGATTACTGATAGCGAAGAATTGGAAAGGTAAAATAAATATATCAATTGAAGAATGGTATAAAGAATTACGGAAAATAGCAATAAATGATAAATTGACATGTAGGTTAAGAGTCAAGAAAGGGGTATGGAAGGAAAATAATTTTGATAAAGTTTGGGGGAAATTTATTGAGAATGGCTTAAAAGAAGTAGATGGGAAATTACCTCCACAAGAAGAAATGGTATTTTGGAAAGAGAATGCAAATTGAAGTGGCTCGGAAGGGGGGGGGCACAGAGGTGGGGGGGAGAGTATACAAGATACACTTTGGTTGATGTAATGAATTGAGGATGGAATATATGATTATTGAAGGTATTGATGTATTCTAAGAAAACCAATAAAATATTTGAAAAAAAATAATGCTGCAAAACCAATGGGTGCTGGACATACAGAGGCATGGCTATCAGATCGAGTAAATCCACATTTATTTATTTATTTACAGTATTTATATTCTGCCCTTGTCACCTCGAAGGGGACTCAGGGTGGATCACACAACACATATATGGCAAACATTCAATTATACAATGACAAGACAGACAACAGATAGATTTATGTCTAGGCTTTTTCTCATCATTTGGCATCTTTTGGAGGCTGTGCTCTGTTCTGGCTATTGGGGGGGGGGGGCTGTCATTGTATCTCCTTGCTGAGAGCGTTCTTCGTTTGTAAACTTTCCTCCAAAAAAAAGGTAAAGGTTTCCCCCTGAGATTAAGTCGAATCATGTTTGACTCTGGTAGGTGGTGGTCATAGAATAATAGAATCAAAGAGTTGGAAGAGACCTCTTGGGCCATCCAGTCCAACCCCCTGCCAAGAAGCAGGAATATTGCATTCAAATCACCCCTGACAGATGGCCATCCAGCCTCTGTTTAAAAGCTTCCAAAGAAGGAGCCTCCACCACACTCCGGGGCAGAGGGTTCCACTGCTGAACGGCTCTCACAGTCAGGAAGTTCTTCCTCATGTTCAGATGGAATCTCCTTCTTGTAGTTTGAAGCCATTGTTTCCTAGTCTCCAGGGCAGCAGAAAACAAGCTTGCTCCCTCTTCCCTGTGGCTTCCTCTCACATATTTATACATGGCTATCATATCTCCTCTCAGCCTTCTCTTCTTCAGGCTAAACATGCCCAGCTCCTTAAGCCGCTCCTCATAGGGCTTGTTCTCCAGACGATCATTTCAGTCGCCCGCCTCTGGACATATTCCAGCTTGTCAATATCTCTCTTCTCCCTTCTACCAGTAGTAGGAACGTTACCATCACGCTGAACTACAACACCTATCGCCCTACCTTTTGAAAACAACAGGCTTGTTAACATGTGTAATTTGCATTTAGAATGGAGACTGTTCAATGGAGAGAAGCCATTGTCTTTCTGCTTTGCGTGTTGGCTTTTCTAGGGGCATGCAGTATTTGTATTCGTTTTCTTTACAACTTATATTTCCTCCAAGGAGCTCAAGATAGTCCCCAGATTTCACCAGGCATGGGCACACTTCAACACAGGCAAGGGCTAACTTGGGCCCTCCATTTAGGTATTTTGGACTTCAACTCCCACCATTCCTAACAGCCTCAGGCCCCTTCCCCTCAGCCGCTTAAGCGGCTGAGGGGGAAAAGGAAAGGGCCTGAGGCTGTTAGGAATGGTGGGAGTTGAAGTCCAAAACACATTGAGGGCCCAAGTTAGCCCATGCCTGTGTTAGAGTGTGCCTGCCACTTTAAATCCTGCGGCTGCCTCCCGAAGGATTCTGGGGCGTGTAGTCCAGCCAGGGGCCTTTCCCATCCGCACTCAGTGAGGTCCCAGGCTGCTCGACACGACAATCCCCAGAATGCTCCGCGGGGCGGCGTTTAAAGCGGTAGGCACCCTTTTCTGTGTGGGAAGGCGTCTCCTGCTTCAGGGCGGGCCTCCCTTTCCGTCGCCGCTGAGGGGAAAGAGGAGGAGGAGGAGGAGGAAGGGAGGCAGGGACGGCGTCTCCTGAGGCAACAACATGCCGCCCGGGCCTTCCTCCTCCTCCGGTTGAGGAGACCCCAAAGGAAGGAGTGAGGGAAGGCGGGCGGGCCGCTCTGCCGCCATGAGGGGCGCCGCCGAGGAGCTGGAGGGCTTCGACGGGGAGGCCTCGAGCAGCTCCATGATCTCGGGCGCCAGCAGCCCCTACCAGCCCACCACAGAGCCCGTCGGGCAGCGCGCCGGCATCCGGGGCCTCCGCTGCGACGCCCAGTACCTGCGGAGCGCGCCCGGGAGGCTCAAGGCGGCGCAGGCGGTGAGTTGGGGGCGGCGGGCCTTCCTCTTCTTCCTCCTCTTCTTTCTCGGCCTCTTCCTCTTCCTTCCTCTCTTCCTCTTTTTCCTCTTCTTCCTCCTCCTTTCTTCTTCTCCTTCCTCTTCTTCTTTCTCCTTTCTTCCCTCTTCTTCCTTCCTCCTCCTCCTCTTCCTCTTCCTCCTCTTCTCTCTCTTCCTCTTCCTCCTTTTCTTCCCCTTCTTCCTCCTCTTCCCTTTTCTTCTCCTCCTCTTCTTCTTCCTCTCTTCTCTCCTTTCTTCTTCCTTCCTCTTCTTCCTCCTCTTCTCTCCTTTCTCTTCCACTCCTCCTCTTCCTCCTTCTCTTCCTCCTCTTCTTCCCCTCTTCCTCTTCCACCTCTTCTTCTTCTCCTCTCCTCTTTCACCTTCTCTTCTTCTTCTTCTTACTCCTCTTCTACCTCCTCTTTTCCCTCTTTTTTAATTCCTCTCCTCTTCTTCCCCCTCTTCCTCTTACACCTCCTTTTCCACCTCCTCTTCTTCCTCCTCTTCTTCTTACACCTCCTCTTCTTCTCCTCTTCCTCTTCCACCTCTTCTTCTTCTTACTCCTCTTCCTCTTCCACCTCTTCTTCCCCCTCTTCCTCTTCCACCTCCTCTTCTTCTTCCCCCTCTTCCTCTTTCTTCTCTTACTCCTCTTCTACCTCCTCTTTTTCCTCTTTTTTCCTCTCCTCTTCTTCCCTCTTCCTCTTCCACCTCCTCTTCTTCCTCATCCTCTTCCTCTTCCACCTTCTTCCTCCTCTTCCTCTTCCACCTCCTTTTCTTCTTACTCCTCTTCTACCTCCTCCTCTTCTTCCTCTTCCTCTTTTTTCATCCCTCTCCTCTTCTTCCTCCTCTTCCACCTCCTCCTTCTCTTTCCTCTCTACTTCTTCCTCTTCTTCTTACTTCTCCTCCTCCTCTGCTTCTTCGTCTTCTTATTTCTTCCTCTCCTCTCCTCCTCCTTCTCCTCCTCTTCTTTCTCTTCTTCTTTCTCCCTCTCCTCTTTCTCTCTCCTTTTCTTCCTTCTCTTTCCTCTCTTCTACCTCCTCTTCTTCTTCCTCTTCCTCTTTTTCATCCCTCTCCTCTTCCTCCTCTCCCCCTCCCCCTCCCTTGAAAAGATCTTGGAGTCTTCGTGGACAACACGTTGAACATGAGCCAACAGTGTGATGCAGCAGCTAAAAAGCAACAAGATTACTTTATGCATAGATGGATACTCTCTCCATCGATATGTCAGAAACTACCAGAACAAATTGTGTTCCCTTCTTTCCTTGTGTTCCTTGCGGTTCGTTGCTTTTTAAACTGTGGGTCTTGACCACAAATGGGATCTCCTTTGGCTCAATGTTGGGATCCTGAAAAATTTGGCCACAGGGAAAGTTTTCTGAATGTCACCTTGTGGCTGATTTAGACCTTTATGCAAATCCGGTTGTGCAGTGTTTCCAGTGGTCTCTGCAGAAGATGCTTCAGCTGTATTTCGTAAAAAAGGAAAGGAAAAATCAGCCTGTGATTGTTATCAGTAATCAGCAATGGTGATTTGTTATCAGTAAATGTTTGATTTCATACCTATTTTATAAATTATATATACCTTTTGGAAGCATATTGGAAATTACAACCTTTTTCGAGTCTTCTCTAGTAATTTATCTATAATCCTGTTGCTTATTTATTGTATGTGTGTCCTGGTATGCAGCTTTCTTTCCTTGCTCTATGTTTTTCCTGAGAATTTTTGGCTATTCTCTAAAACAGGGGTCCTCAAACTTTTTAAACAGAGGGCCAGGTCACAATCCCTCAAACTGTTGGAGGGCCGAATTATAATTTGAAAAAAAAATGAATGAATTCCTATGCACACTGCACACATCTTATTTGTAGTACAAAAAACCTTTAAAACATTACAATAATTAAAATGATGAACAATTTTAACAAATATAAACTTATTAGTATTTCAATGGGAAGTGTGGGCCTGCTTTTGGCTAATGAGATAGGATTGTTGTTGTGTGTTTTCAAGTCATTTCAGACTTAGGTTGACCCTGAGCGAGGGCCGGGTAAATGACCTTGGAGGGCCATATCCGGCCCCCGGGCCTTAGTTTGAGGACCCCTGCTCTAAAAGGTCATGCACGTCTAAAAAACAAAACAAACTCCACAAGTGTGTTCTGGGTTCCAGAAGGATGCAGTTTCTTAACTTCAAACATTTGTGAGAGTGATGATAACCAATTTTTCATCTCTTTCAAATATTTAGATTTTTCTTTTTCTTGTTCTCAGATTCAATCCTGCTAGGAAGGTAATTGAATTAGGGTGTGTGCAACAGAGCACTTAGCTAATAGGTGACATTTTGCATGTTTGTTGAAGTTTATCTAGCTTTGCAAGGTCATGTTTTTTTACTGGTTGAAAAATAATAGGTAGGAGGTACTCTACTCTCTTCTGAGGCCTTTCTGTGGTCCCAAGATGTGTCTGGTGACTTTGTTTGCAGCATGTTTAATCTTGCTTCAACTGCTAATGACCTTATTTGTGACTCTTGCCATTGATTTAAAACAGAGATGGATACAAGGTAGATCAGAATGTATTGGTAGATGTCTCAATGTCCACTTGTGATTTTCACTTATCGAACAGTATGAATGACATAAAATTTCCTTATCTGTATAATGTTAAAGGAGACCCTGGTAGTGTAGTGGGTTAAACCACTGAGCTGCTGAACTTACTCACCAAAAGGTTGGTGTTTTGAATCTGGGGAGCGGGGGAGCTCCTGTTGTTAGTCCCAGCTTCTGTCAACCTAGCAGTTCGAAAACATGCAAATGTGAGCAGATAAGTAGGTACCGCTTCAGTGTGAAGGTAACGGTACTCCATACAGTCATGCCGGCCACATGACCTTGGAGGCGTCTATGGACAATGTTCACTCTTTGGCTTAGAAATGGAGATAGGCACTACCCCCCAGAGTCGGACACGACTAGAATTAATGTCAAGGGGAAACCATAACCTTTTGGCTCAAGATCCTGTTGATGGAATTGGGGATTCTAGTAAATAATGCCTAGTAGATCTGATTAATCCAACCATTGTTTAATGCAGTGTTGCTCAAACTGTCCTCCTCCAGGTGTTTTGGACTTCAGCTCCCAGAAATCCTAGCCAGCTTACCAGTTAGAAATTGTGGAGCTGAAGCCCAAAACATTTGAAGGAGCACAGTTTGAGAAACTCTGGTTTAATGTGTCTAATGAAGCAAGTGCCTTTACCTATGAAAGCTTTTGTTCCAGTAGACCAGGTAGAATAATATACAATGCTTAGACACATTTAATTAGAAGGAAAGTAATGTTAATCAAATGAATATGCTTTCTGGAAAACTACCTAGAATGGCAGCATCGAAATACTTGTATCTTTTTCTGTTTGCTTTGAAATAGGAACAGATGCAACTATAGAACAACTTGGAGATTTTTGTATACTTTAACTACTAAGATGGGAATTTAACTTAGCTACTATCGACACAAGGACTCTCTGGTGGCACAGTGGGTTGAACTTCTGAGCAGCTGAATTTGCTGACCGAAACGTCAGCAGTTCGAATCCGGAGAGCAGGGTGCGCTCCCGCTGTTACCCTCAGCTTCTTCCAACCTAGCAGTTTGAAAACATGCAAATGTGAGTAGATCAATAGGTACTGCCATGGCAAGAAGGTAACAGTGCTCCATGCAATTATGCTGGCCACATGACCTTGGAGGTGTCTATGGACAACGCCGGCTCTGAAATGGAGATGAGCACCAACCCCCAGTGTCAGACACGACTGGACTTAACGTTGGGGAAACGTTTACCTTTACTGTCGACACACACTATCTACAACCATTTTTGCTTAAATCAACAGTATTTAGACAGTCTTGCTGTTCAAGGTATATTGAAAGCCATAAAAGGGTTGAGGTTGGTGGATGGAAAAAAACCTGAGGATAGTGGTTGATCCAGGTGCCTATATGTTAATGGAAACATACCTAATTTGAATCCAATTGTACATACATTTTTCATTGCCTCTGTTGCCCTTTTGGACTGTAACCAGCTTTGTTGTTTGGTTCCTCTTCTGCTGTTCCTCTTTTGTTGTTTGAGTTCAGTTTGGATTTGCTTCTTATCCAGAGCAAGATACCTCCCCAGCTTTTATTGGCAGTTGGGGGAGGAAGTAACTACCTACTGGCAACTCACCAAGTTGTGTTTGCTCCTTTTCTTGTCCTGTGAAGTCATTTTTTGTTCATAGGAGGTTTCTGTGTATATAATTCAGCTTAAGGAGACCACATTCACATGTTGTTCAGGTAATTTATTTTTGTTTGTTTAGATTTATAAACTCGTTCCCTTGTAGCAGATCCTCAAGGTAGCTCACTGTAGTCAGCCACCACATTCATGGGTTTCTCTTTTGTAGATTTGACTAGTTTGGTTTCTTTGCCTTTTTCTTTGTTGCATTGATGCTGCTGAAGGTAAAGGTTTTCCTCTGAAATTAAGTCTAGTCATGTCCAACTTGGGGTGTGTGTGTGTGCGTGCTAATCTCCATTTCGAAAACGAAGAGTTGGCGTTGTCCGTAGACACCTCTAAGGTCATAAGGCCAGCATGACTGCATGGAGTGCCATTACCTTCCCGCCAAAGTGGTACCTATTGATCTATTCATATTTGCATGTTTTCGAACTGTTAGGTTGGCAGAAGCTTGGCCCAACAGTGGGAGCTCACCCCACTCCCTGGATTCCAAATGTCAACCTTTCGGTCAGCAAGTTCAGCAGCTGAGGATTAAACTGCTGCTACTTTTGTCTTAAGTCAACCACTGTGTACCTTTGTGTACCTTTAAAAAAGAGTTTCAAGATTAGATATGCAGATTACAGTGAAACAAAATGTGTTTTCTGACATAAAGCTAAACAATGATTTACTGTTACATGCGTGAACAGCCTTCAACAAAGTTAACACCAAAGCAATGAAAGCCTTCCCACCTCAGGCTCAGAGGTACTGTGAATCAAAGTTTAAGGTTCCCCTGCATGAGAAGGCACTGAAACCCTT